CGAGGGGCAGTTGATCAATGTTTCTCTCTCATTGGTGTTTCTATCTCTCTATCTTTCTCCCTTCCTCTCTCTCTAACATCAATAAAAATATATTTAAAGAAATAAAGAGCTGCAGAGTATTTCCTTAAATAGAAGTACCAGAGTCTTTTAATATGTACTACTTTATAACTATTACTGTGACTTAAAAATCCTATTCAATGCCGAAACCGGTTTGGCTCAGTGAATAGAGCGTCAGCCTGCGGACTGAAAGGTTCCAGGTTCGATTCCCGTCAAGGGCATGTACCTTGGTTGCGGGCACATCCCCAGTAGTGAGTGTGCAGGAGGCAGCTGATCGATGGTTCTCTCTCATCGATGTTTCTAACTCTCCGTCCTCTCTCTTCCTCTCTGTAAAAAAATCAATAAAAATATATATTTTTAAAAAATCCTATATAATATATTGCCGGGACCGGTTTGGCTCAATGGATAGAGCATCGGCCTATGGACTGAAAGGTCCCAGGTTTGATTCCGGTCAAGGGCATGTACCTTGGTTGTGGGGACATCCTGGGGGGTGTGCAAGAGGCAGCTGGTCAATGTTTCTCTCTCATCGACGTTTCTAACTCTTTGTCCCTCTCAATTCCTCTCTGTGTAAAATCAATAAAATATATTTTTTAAAAAATCCTATATAATATAAGTGTAATATGCAAACTGTTCTCTCGACCCAGAGTTCATTCGGGAGTTCGACCAGGGGACAGGCTGGCCTGGGGAAGGGAGGGAACAACAGGCGCTAGGGACCTTACCAGTGCATGAATTTTATGCACTGGGCCTCTAGTATACTATAAATGTCCTTATCAGTAAATCTAGTACTACATTATCATTTTTGTGGTATGTGAATTATATCTCAGTAAAGCTGTTACCAAAAACAAACAAACAAAAAACAACAACTCCACCCTGCTGAATATCTCTTTCCAGGAGCAGGTGGGTTTATTATTTACTCCCTGAAGCTGTAGTAGCTAAGCCAGATGTGCTTCTTCACCCCCAGCCATGCATCATTAAGATCCTTTTCTCTATCACATCTACTAAGATATCATCCTGTCCAGGAAAGACCAGGACACCCCAGTTGACTCCATGATGGTGCAATTACATTTATCACAAGGAAGTGGCTAGGGTCAGACTCAGAGCCACCGATGGATGAGACATCAAATATCTGTGCCTGCTGCAAAGATGACTGGAGCCCACAGTAGAATTCAATGTGACAACGGCTAGCAAATCCAGGAGTGATTGTTAAAGGTGAGGATGATGATGGTTGTGGTGGTGGTGATTATAGTTAGCAGTAACTGAGCATTTACAAGAAATCAGGCCAACAATGACATTAGTTCTTTCCATCCTCATGACAATCTTCTGTGATAAAAGTTATTGCCATGCCTAGTTTAGGGATGGGGAAACTGAGGCTCAGAGAAGTTAAATAACTGGGCAAAGGTCAAAATGGATCTTAGGTGAACCACAGTCAACGATATTAAAATTCTCCCAATGTCCCTTGTCCTAACAGATCTCAGGGACCTTTGCAGATTAATTTCAGGAACCTTTAAACATGAAAGAGGTTGTGTAGGCAAAAGGGTGCCTCCTTGGAGGCCACAGGCCTCCCTCCCTCACACACAATCTGTCCCAGGCCCAGCATCTGCTGACCTAGTGCTTAGAGGTTTATTCCTCTCCCAGGCACACGGAGGATGAGGATGGAAGCTGTAACGGAGCCAGATGCAGAAATGAGAGTTGACCCAGATCAGCACTTCCAGGTATCTGGAGGGAAGAAGCAACTATCACGCAGTGACACTCAGCAGTATGTGAGCAGGGCAGCATGGGACTCGGACCTAACTTCCCTCTGTGGCTCTTAGCTTCCTCCTCAGCGGTCCAGAAGAGCTGGTCTGTCTGGGTGTTGAGGACAATCCCATGCACGCAACTGTCTCCATGCTCTCTAGGATCTGAGGCATTGGTCACAGCGTGAGGCTCTGACCCACTCTCAGGACCCCTTCTTATACCACTGAACTTGTCATAAGTTGAACTGTGTCCCTTAAAAAGATATGTTGGGCTGAAGCCGATTTGGCTCAGAGAATAGAGCGTCAGCCTGAGGACTGAAAGGCCCCAGGTACAATTCCGGTCAAGGGCATGTACCTTGGTTGCTTGCACATCCTCAGTGGGAGGTGTGCAAGAGGCAGCTGATCGATGATTCTCTCTCATTGATATTTCTAACTCTGTCCCTCTCTCTTGCTCTCTGTAAAAAAATCAATAAAATATATATATTAAAAAAAAAAAAAGATATGTTGACATCCTAACACCCAGCACCTTTGAATGTGTCCTTATTTGGAAATAGTGTCCTTGCAGATGTAATTAGGTTAAAATGAAGTCATTAAGCTGAAACCGGTTTGGCTCAGTGGATAGAGCGTCAGCCTGCGGACTGAAAGGTCCCGGGTTTGATTCCGGTCAAGGGCATGTACCTTGGTGGCAAACACATCCCCAGTAGGGGGTGTGCAAGAGGCAGCTGGTCGATGATTCTCTCTCATCGATGTCTCTATCTGTCCCTCTCTCTTCCTCTCTGTAAAAAATCAATAAAATACATTTTTTTTTTTAAAAAATGAAGTCATTAAGGTAGGCCCCAATCCAATATGACTGATATGCTAATGAGAAAAGTAAACACCATGAAGACAGAGTTGGAGAACATCCTGTGGTGGAGATAGAGACTGGGGTGCTGTGTCTGCAAACCAAGGAACGCCTGGGGCTGCCAGAAGCTGAAAGAGGCAAGGAGAGGGCCTCACATAGAGGTTCCCAAGGAAGCAGGGCCCTGCCAATACCTTGATTCCAGACTTCTGGCCTCCAGAACGATGAGAGAATAAACTTCCATTGTTTAAAGCCTCCATATTTATGGCACTTCGTTACAGTAGCCCTATGAAACTAACACGGGCCCCCAACATGCTTACATGCCCCAGCCAGACCACCCAGTTCTCTGTTCCTCCACAGGCCAAGTTCCTTCTCACCACCCCAGGGCCACTATAGGTGCTGCTCTTCCACCATGTTCTACACCAGGTTCTTCCCACCTCCCTCCACACTTGCTCCTTCTGAAGCATAGCGACAACCTGGCCTAGAAAATAAAGGGTCTTCCTCTAGGAGGAAGGGGAGAACAGGTTTTGAAGGAAAAGCAGGTTTCAGAGGGAATGACGACTGGTGTGGAGTTGGCAGCAGCAGTGCCACCTAGAGGAGTTGGCGCTAGACAGCAGGCACGATCCTGGAGGCCGGAGCCTGGGGGCGCCCTCCTGCCGGACTCTGCTCAGGCCGCCTCTTGGGCAAGGTTGACTTTCTTTGGTTTGAGGCAGCTGAGACCTTGTCCGTGTTAGTGGACCCCTTTGTGAGCCAATTTTAGGGGAAAGACTCTGTAGGGATTTACCTCCATTCTTAGGAAATGATTTTCAAAACCAAGAGAGTTTTCAGGAAGCTTCGTTGCTCCTGGGAGGCCCCTGCATCCATGAATGTGCTGTGTCCTCCTGAGTCTGGTTGTGATGCGGGGGTGGGCAGTTAGCAGTGATTGTGGTGATTACTGAGCATTTACAAAAAATCAGGCCTACAATGACATTAGTTCTTTCCATCCTCATGACAGTCTTCTGAGATAAAAATTATTGCCATGCCTAGTTTAGGGATGGGAAAACTGAGGCTCAGAGAAGTTAAATAACTGGGCAAAGGTCAAAATGGATCTTAGGTGAACCAGTCAACGATATTAAAATCGGGCAGAAATGAATTGCTGCTGCTCTGTGGTTGGCATCTAATCCCACTTTCCGGACCTGCCCATCCTCAAGCCAGATCAGCTTATCAGGTTGCCAGGAAGTGGCCAGAGACACTTCCTACTCCATATAAGCATGAAACAGGATCTTGTCACTTTGCACTTTTCCCTGGAAATCAGGGCACAAAGCAAGGCGCCTTTTGGAGCAGCCCACCTGGCTTCCGGTCCTGCCTCCCTCGTCTGCTGTCTGTGGGCTTGGGAACATTAACTCAACTCACTAAGCCTCAGATCACCCACCTGTAAGCGGGAACGGTAGTATACCTCACTGACAGGGTGGCTGACTGGATTAAGTGAATACTAGCAAATATACACAACACTTGTCATATTATATTATTATTATGCATGAGGCTGCTTTTTTTTTTTTTTTGGCTGCAACCACCACAATTTCTCTGAGAAGTCTCAGGCGTGGCCACTTCCTGTAAAGAGCCCAAACTTTACCCTCCCCTGCTGGCTTTCTGCTCCTACCAAGCCCTTTACTCTGAAAGGCTGTTATTACAGGAAATAACTGTTCGTTTTCCCGCCTTCCTCCCTCCCTCCTCCACACACAGTCTTCAGAAAAAGAGGATCTCGTCCAGAAAGCAGAAAATCAGTAGTCAGGCAGGGAGCATGGTGTAGCGTGGGCTGGGTGTGCGGAGTCCTGCGGAGGTGTTGGTAGAGTTTGTTTAATTGTGGGGGCTTGAGGGGAATCTGGTATTCAGATTGTGGTTGGGGGGAGTGAGAGAATCTCTGAACACCCTGGACTCTGGGGTATCAAACTGCAGGAATGGGAAGCTGCACGACACTCTCCGGGACAGGGTGTGACTCAGTAGAGCCTGGGGGCAGGAAATTCCCTCCTCTCCAATGTAGGCTGAGCTGCCTGAACTGCGGTCTGAGATATCAAGCTGGAGTGCTGGAGAGAAAGCTTCTGATTGTCTTAAACTTTCCATCCTCAGGCTGCACCCGGAGAGGCTGCTCTCAGTGCCTGGGAGCTATTGCTGAGCCTCCTTCTCTTCCCGTTGTCTCCCAGAAACAGCTTTGTGTCTGGCGGTGGAAGGTAGGATCAGGAGCAGCCCAGCCAACGCTCCAAGGCTGAGGCCCCTGGGGGTCCTTTCTGGCTGATATCCTTCCTGGGGAGAGGAAAGCCCAGATCTCCAAAGGACTGGGTCTGGGAGAGTTGCTGCCTTCTTTCTCCACTGCCCCGCAGTCTCCCGGGGGTTGGATGGGATGTGTGTGTATAAACTCATGCTCTTTTCCACCTGTTCTGTTTGCAACAAATCCTCCTGGACTGGAACTCCGGGATGCTGTATGCCCAGCCTGTCCCCCAGAGGTATCTCCAAAAGCTGCCCCTGGATATGGCTGGGCATGGTGGGGGGGGGGGGGGGGGCGGGGTTTGAGAAGGGGAGAGCTGGGATGACCGGAGAGTGAGAGGAGCATGGCCATGCATTTCTTGTACCTACAGATGCCCCACTCCAGCTTGCACCCCTCCATCCCTCGGCCCAGGAGTCACAAGGCCAAGAAGGCAGCCTTTGCCCTGCTGATTGCCTGTCTGGCAGCCTTTTGGGGCTTGGAGGAGCCGCCAACACACATTCTTTGGTGGCTGGCGCTCCACCTGATCTCCCAGCAGCTGCGACTGCTGTTCAAGCGAGCCTGCAGCCTGGCCGAGGAACTCTGCCACGTCCATTCCAGGTGATGCCCTGCGGCCTCCATGGTGTCTGGGCACACACCATGCCTCACCCCCTGGACCCCCACCCCTGCCCCTCCTTGAATCTCTCTAGCTGAGCTGTCATCTGCAGGTATCAGGGCAGCTACTCCAGGGCTGTGCAGGCCTGTCTGGGCTGCCCTATCCGCTATGGGGCCCTCCTGCTGGTGTCCTGCTATTTTTACGCCTCCCTGCCAAACAAAGCTTGGATGCTTTCCCTCCTGGGCCTCTCAGAGGCACTGAGCATCCTCCTGGACCTCCAGGTAAGACACAGTGGGAAGAGGAGGGCATGGTTCAGAGGAGGCTGTGGCTAGTGTGACCTGCTCTGAGCTCAGTACAAGGAGTGGGACTAGTTTCGAGGCCGGTTTTTGGAGGGGAACCTATAATGTCCTGGAACAGTGGGGTGAGCAATGGCAGAAAAGCAGCAGCAGGCTGAGAAATCTTGGAGGAGGAGGGTTCTAGTTGTCCTTCATGGAGGTCTCCCCCCTCTCCCCACGCCACTCTTCTGTCCACAGGGGCTGGCCCCAGCTGAGGTCTCTACAGTCTGTGAACAAAGAAACTTCAACGTGGCCCATGGGCTGGCATGGTCATTTTATATCGGGTACCTGCGGCTGGTCCTACCAGGTAGGCTGTCCTCTATGTCCCCATCCTAGATCTTCAAGACACACAAACAGTAAGACACATCATTTCCACAACTCGGCATATTTTTTCCAAGAATTTTCATGTCCAACATTTGATTCCCAAAACAACCCTCTAGGCATGAAGAATATTGTTATGCCTGGTTTAGAGGAAGAAATATTAGGTGACTTGTCCAAGGTCACCTCTGAATTCTTTCACTAACTATTCACTGCATGCTGTGTGCCTTTCGTGTGCATTTTCTCTTTTAATTCACAACCTATGAGGAAGATATTATCATCTTCCTGCTTAAAAGATAAGAAAATTGCCCTAACCGGTTTGACTCGGTAAATGGAGCGTCGGCCTGCAGACTGAAGGTTCTTAGGTTCGATTCCGGTCAAGGGCATGTACCTTGGTTGTGGGTTCATCCCCAGTAGGGGGTGTGCAAGAGGCACCTGATCAATGTTTCTCTCTCATTGATGTTTCTAGCTCTCTATCCCTCTCTCTTCATCTGTAAAAAATCAATAAAATATATGTTATAAAAAAAGAAAAGAAAAAGAAAATTGTGGTTCTGAGAAATAAAGTGACGTATCCCAAGTCACGCAGCTTAGTGAGAGGAGACAACTTTTGAATCCAGGTCTGTCCAGGGCTTGAACCTTTGACCCTACTGTGAATGTATGTGTTATGTCTCATTCTTCTGAGTGGCCAACCAAGGCTGGATTTCTCCCATGTCTGCCTTCCCTTGGCACCAGGGCTTCTGCTAGGAAATGGCTCATGCTAAAGGCCGGACTCAGTGCGCCTGCGGGTGCTGACAGTTTCACCTTGCCTCTGCCTGCCCTTCAAAGGCCTGAAGGCTGTGGTGGGAAGGAGTGGGGCTGGCAGAAATCTGGATAAAGAACAATGAAGGGGGAAAGCAGTGGTGGGAATAGGTGGAGGGGAGGAAGTGTTCTTGGATGTGCTATTCCTGGCCTCCTAGACAGTACTAGGGGACTGGCCCCTCGGTTCTTTGCATGTACACATTGAGGGGGACCATTGATCCAGTGGGAGACCAGGTCAGTGGGAATGACTTCTTGGGCCTCTCCACGCAGGGCTTCCGGCCCGGATCCGTAGTTACAATCAGCTCCACAACAATACGCTCCGAGGCGCAGGAAGCCATCGGCTATACATCCTCTTCCCACTGGACTGTGGGGTGCCTGACGACCTGAGTGTGCTTGACCCCAACATTCGCTTCCTGCATAAGCTGCCCCCGCAACTCTCTGACCGTGCCGGCATCAAGGGCCGGGTTTACACCAACAGCGTCTATGAGCTTCTGGAGAACGGGAGGCAGGTGAGTGTGCCGGAAGGTGGGGCATGTACCACAGGGTGGTGGTGAGGAGCCCCAGAACTCCGGGCGCTGGCCAACCACTGGTAAAAATTTACTGCCCTCCTCTGAGCCTCAGTTTCCCCAGTGAGTCCCAAGGCTGGACAAGATTCAACACTGAACGAGGATAATGCGTAACATTTACTGAACACTTTTGCATGCCAGATGCTATTCTAGATGCTTATCTAACCACCTCAACGAATCCTCACACCACCCTGTGGGGTAGGGACTGTCACAACCCCTATTCTACAGATGAGGAAACGGACCCAGAGAACCAGGGAGAAAGCGGACAATTTCAACTTGAGTATACGATGCTTTTTTTGGGGGGGAAAAACACCTATTTTTGTTGTTGTTAATCCTCAACCGAGGATATTTTCCATGGATTTTTTTTTAAAGAAAGTGAAAGGAAGAGGGAGAGTCAGAGAAGGAGAAACATCCATGTGAGAGAGACACATCGGTTGGTTGTCTCCCTATTGCCCCCACCAGGGCCAGGGATGAAGCCTGCAACTGAGGTACATGCCCTTGACTGGAATCGAACCTACGGCCCCTCAGTCCTCAGGCCAATGCTCTATCCACTGAGCCGAACCGGCTAGGGCACCATGCTTTTGGCCATAAAGCTGCCCTACATGAAGGCTGTGAGAACATCTGTTGGATTTCACACGGGTGGGTGGGGAGACCCAGACCACGGTTGAACCCCAGAGCCTAGCCGTCAGACTTGATTTCAAACCGGAGCAGTTGACAGCCTAGCTGGGTGGGCTTGCCCTGGGATCCTAGGAGGAGCATTAGTGAAGGGTAAATTTAGCTCAGCCCCGGCCCTGATCTTAGGAGTGGGATGCCAGAGGCAAAAGATAACCGGACAGCATGACCCCATATGGGCAGCACCTGCCAGAACCATCTCCACAGACTGAGGGAGGGGGGTCCTTGCAGTGGTACTGGGGTCCAGAGTCTGTCTGCCCTGGTTTAGTTTGGTCCTCCTCTCATTTCCTCCAGGTGGGCACCTGTGTTCTGGAGTATGCCACCCCCTTGCAGACCCTGTTTGCCATGTCACAGGACAGCCGAGCTGGCTTCAGTCGGGAAGATCGGCTTGAGCAGGCCAAGCTCTTCTGCCGGACGCTTGAGGACATCCTGGCAGATGCCCCCGAGTGTCAGAACAACTGGCGCTTCATTGTCTACGAGGGTAAGGGATTGATAGAATGGGGGACAGGAGGAGTCAGGGGGGCAGAAGAAGATATGAAAGCATCATGCCCTGGGCCTTCCGGGGGGTCAGGGCATTCAACCCCTGCCCCGTCCTCCCCTGAGAGAGGTCCACCTCCCCAGGTGGGGACCTTGGTTGCTCTGAAGTCTGTGGCTATGGGTCTTGGGTGGAGCAGAAAGTGGTGAGCTATTGGGTCTCCTCACTTCATCTGTCAAAGGAAGCAAAGTGTCCTAGGCCCCAGGCCAGGAATTAAGAGACTGACAGGGGTTGAACCTCAACTCTGCCACCCCTTCTCTGTATGATCTTGGGCATGTCTCTGCCCTTCTCTAAGCATCATCTCTAAAAGCAAGAGGGCAGAATTTCACTGTCTCTAAAGCCATTTCTAGCTCTGGGATTCCATGAAGCTCTACCCACAATGGCTGGGATGGGGAGGGGGCATAGAGAGGTAGGTTGAAGGACCTGCCCAGCAAATCCTCTGGGGTGTGTTGGAGTGGGAATGTGTGGGTTTCTCACTCCACTCCCCACCACCTTCTCCACCCCCATTCCAGAACCCGAAGAGGAGAGCAGCTTCTCCCTGTCACAGGAGATTCTCAGGCACCTGCAGCAGGAGGAGAGGGAGGAGGTCACTGTGGGTAATGTGGGGACCTTGGCGGCGGTGCCTGACTCTTCCACACTGACCCAAGAGCCTGAGCTCCTCATCAGTGACATGGATCAGCCTCTCCCACTCCGCACGGATATCTTCTGAGGGCCACAGTCACCTTGCCTGGTCCCCCAGCGATCTCCAACATGCTGGCTTTCTTTAGGGGCTAGATGCCCAGCAAAGCTGTTTCCTTCCACAGGGAGGGGCCTCTTAAAGAGATCACAGCGACCTGACATCTCAGGATCAGTCCTAAGACCTTGGGCAAGTTGTTTTACATGAGCCTCAGTGTCCTCATCTATGAAATGGGATTGTAATGATTGCCCTGCCTACCTCACAGGGTTGTTGTGAGGACAATGCCTGCATAGATGTTTCTGGTAACTCTAATTGCCAGGTGTCTTCCATTGGACCCTCTGGACCCACTTCTTCACCTTTTTCTGCTTCCTTTTGCCCTGGGTTAGCATCATCAGGCTCTCTTGCCTCTTGGCTTCTGTTTATGTTTGGTCAATGGGAGAATGGAGGAGAATGAGGTCAAAGTATTCATTCCCCTAGCACTCCCCTGCCAACTCGCTGTATCTCTTGACCAATCTAGCTCAGGAATCCTGTCTCTGTCCAGGTCCCATGAACTGCTTCCTCCCCTCGCCCCTTCGGGCCTAGCAGAGTATTGGCTCCCTACTGTTGCTCATCCTGTAACACTCACTCTCTGCTTTTGGTTTCCTTATACCTGCCTTTTCCAAATGGTCCACCTTTAAACTCCTCAGATTACACACTTCAGTGTGCATCTTTCTCCGACTAGACTCTGACTAATACACACTATTGGCGTTTATTATCTGCAAAGTCCAAATCGGCTTGTACAGACGTGCTTCCTCACCCCCCTCCTCATCCATGGCCGTGGGGTGGTGGGTCTCATTTCAATTTGGGCAGAACCCACAGGCAGGCTGAGGGCAGAGGGTTGGGAAGCACCCCCCTCACCTGTCCTTTCAGTGTCCTTGTCTCCAGTGGGAGGTTTGGGGGGTAGGGAGAGACCAGGGAGAACACAGATACCATGAGCTGTGCCCTGGGCAGGGATTGCTCAAAGCAGCAGAGGCCACTAAATAAACATCCCCTGATGAGAGAGCCTGCATGAGGGATAAAGCGGGGAGAGGGTTTGTGTGAGGAGATGAGACATTCTATGGGGGACCTTGGGCAGCACAGCCAGTCACCTGCCACACCTTTCGCCATTGCTGTTAGAACTGGGCCACTGCAATTACTGTGGTGGCAAAATTGCCCCCATCTGGGAGGGGAGATGGCCCATTTCTACCAGTTCCATTCATTCCACCCAGAAATTGTTTCTTTCCTCCCTCCTTCCTTTGTTTTTGTTGCAACTGTTCTATACGCATATCTGATGACAGCACGCTGTGGAGAAAGGCTCCACACATAGACACACATTTGCCAGAAGGAACCAACCGACTGCCCCTAAGGATGACAGAGCCAAAAGAGTGAGGAGAAACAGTCCCTTCTTCTCCCCAGCTGTCCCAGCCACTCTGTCCTCAAGGCCTGGAGATCTGCCAACATCACACTTATACGTACAAGCCAGACCAGAATCAAAGACCGCCCCAACATGACTTTCCCCACCCTCCAGCCCCCAACATGGTGCAAACGGCCTCAGGTTCAAATCCTGATCCACCACTTAGCACGAGTGTTCACCTGGATGTCTTAATATTCCCAACTGTAAAATGGGAATAACAATGGTTCTCTTCTCAAGGTTGTTATGAGGAGTGAATGGCATACCTGCAGGCCCATGGAGGAAGCCAGTGCCAAGCACATAGCTGGCCTTCAAGAAGGAATAGCTATTAGGATGATAACTGCCTCTCATTAACCCAAAGGTGGCAAGCCAGTCCTCTGCGCACATAATCTTCAAGTCTGTTCCTCTATCTCCTGTTCTTCCCAGCCTTACTGACAGTGGGCAACCCCAGTGCTGACTTGTTCCCAGGGTAAAGCACCCAGAGGTCCCTCCATAAATGTCTGTCTGCCGCTCACTGACTGCACATAAATGGAGCCACAGGTGCCAGAGAAAGAGGTACCTTTCCAGGGAGCCTCTGGGAGACTCAGTGCTGCCTTCCTGGCCTCTTGTGTTTTCCCAACCTCCATGTCTCTCTCCCTGTAGGCCTTCTCCTCACTCCTTTCTTCCTCTATAAAAGCTCCACGAAGCTCCTTTCCTACCCTGTTTTCTTATCAGATGGACCTGAGGAATTTCCTGGGGTAAATTCTAGGCTAGTTTCAACAGGCCCATGCTCACAGAAAGTAGGAGGTAATGAGAACTCCCAGATTTCCCCCATTGCATCATGGGAAGGCAAGACAGAGAGTCTCACCCCAAGATAGTGGAGGGCATCCAAAAACAATGTGGGAGCTATCATTGGTGCTTGGGGCTTTACAAGGGCCTTGAACGTTGTTACCAAGTCCTGGGCCCTGACAGCCAAAGGGATGTCCCTCAACCAGTGAAGGGCAACAGCTTTTCCTTCTTTCCCCTGAGTCCCAGGGAAGGCAGAGCCCTGGGTTCTTTGCCTTGGTTACTCTCTGGCTGGCCTTCACAGGACCTGGGGGCTGGGGCAGCAGAGCCTCTGCAGGGAGCCTCTGACATCCCTTCACAGGGATAGGGCAGGGTATCTTCCAAGCACGACTTACCTTGACACCCAAAGGAGAGGAGCTTAGGGGTGGGAGGAGGGAGGGACTCGGAGAAGGAGGCTCAGGGGTCTGGTGGTCCCTGAGGAGGATGGAGTAGCTTTGTGAGGGCAGCCTTGGGCACTTGGAATGCTCACAGCACCGTGTGTCTGGGCAGGGCCCTCAAGCTCCTTTATTTCCCCTGTCCACATGGAGGCTCTCTCTGCATTCTGCCCGCAGGGCAGCTCCGGCTTAGTCCATGTGTGCACTTCCAAAGCTCAGATGCCCAGGCCCCAGTTTGTCTCTGCTCCAATTCTCTGTCCAGTTCCTTGTTCTGACCGGGTCTGGCCTACTTTCCAAGGTCTTCCTCCTACAGATACGTGACTTCGTCGATGCTGAGCCTGGGCCCATCAGGCACAAGGCAGGAGCCAGAGACAGGAAGGTCCTGGTGGGTGTCTCCATGATTGTCCTGGGAGCCCAGCACTCGCCAGTGGATGAGGGAGATGCCACCCTCTGGCTTTGGGGCTGGCGGCTCTGTGAGGAGAGTGGCACGGCCCTGGTGTAGACTTGGCCCAAAGTGGACCGCCACCACGATACAGACGGCCAGCAGGACGAAGACAGCGATGATCACAGTCACCAGAGGCAGCCCGTCCTCTCGAGGTGGCTCCCAGGCCCCACTCAGCACCTCTGGAAGCTGCCTCTGCGTCTCCGGCCCCGCTGAGCCGTTCGCCGCTGAAGAGAGCCAGGGATTACGGTCAGCCTAGGAGGGGAGTGAGAGAGAGAAGGTGACATGGGCATGTACACACAGGAAAAGACCAAAATAGCGAGAGACAGGCAACCAAAGGGAACTGAGAGAGGCGGGGGAGATCCTCAGGGGGAGAGAAAGAGGAATAGACACGGAGAGAGAGACAGGAAGATAGAGATACACGTAGCAACTGAGAGAATGAGCGAAGAAGAGGACAGACAGAGGGGAACATGGGAAGAAAGATACAAGAAAAAAAAACAGTTAAAAAGAAATCAGTGAGATAGACACAGAGACAGAGACGGAGACAAAGTTGTACAGAAAGGGACAAACAGGGACTTCGTTACGGTCTGGCATACAGAGTTTGGTCCTGCAAGTCCCCTCTCACTGCCCTCTCTTCCCAGACCTCCTAATTCCTAAATAGGGCCTGTGTCCTGGGTCAGGAATCTTAGCACACTATGGGCTGCTGTCCCACAGCCTGGGCAACGGGCAGTGACCAACTGCTCCTTCAGGTCCAGGGAAAAGGGAGTCGTTGTGTTCAGCATCTTAGGTGCTCACTATGCACAAAAGAGGCAGCGGGGGATGGGGGTAATGGAAAGAGGAAGAGGAGACAGGAACCCCAGAAACTTGGCAAGCGAGATACCTCATCCATAATGCCCCCTCCCCCAACTCCCCACCCCAAATCTTAGGATTAGGTTCCAGGGCCTGGAAGGGAGGGGGTGCCAGTGTGGATTCCTGGACAGACTGAGGAGATGCCATGCCAGCCTCTACCTCTTTCAGGTCCCAGAGTTCTTCCACCTAAAGCTGAAGGTCATGACCCCTACCTCTCTCTGTCGTCGTGTGTGTGTGTGTGTGTGTGTGTGTGTGTGTGTGTGTGTGTGTCCCGCTAAGTGTGGGGTAATGGTGGTGGGGGATTTGCCAGAAAGATAGCAAACCTCCGAACTCTAAACCCCAGACCTGGTAAGGTCATCACAGGCTCAAGAAACCTTTTCTCGCTCACCTCATTGTCCCCAGCTGGACCCTCAGAAGCAGGCCCTGGGGTGTGGAGCCCCTCCCTTAACTCTGAGCCCGCAGCCTGGCTTTTCCTATGGGTAGGCATTTGGGGTCCAGGACAAACACACTTCCTTTAGCCTCTCAGTCACACTGCCCACCCCAACACATGTCCCTTTAAGAATGTGGAAGGTCTAACACCCACCCCTCCCTGTGAGAGGCTGAGGTTCCCTGGGGCCCAGGCCACCGAGCTCCGGGCAGGGGGTGGGGAAGCAGCTCCGGATGTGCAGGGGGAAAAGGAAGCACAGGCTGGTGAAAAGCAAGGGGCCCCTGCGGGGAGTCACGCCAGCCTGGCAGGGCAGGGTGAGGGGAGCCTGTACCTGGTGCATTATCCCGCGGTGGGCGGTGGGCGGTGGGCGCAAGACTCCCTCAAGACTGGTGACCAGCTGGGCAAAGGAGAGCCTGCCACCCCAGCTGGGCCCCTACCCGGACCTGCCACGTCCTACGGGGCTCACGGGCACACACCCTCTGCACACAAACCGTCAACGCTCTCTTCTGCGCTTTCACTTCCTTGAACAGAGGGACAAACCCTGACGCCAGCTCTGAACTCGGAGAGCACCTTGATCGCACTCCTGGGACCTCTTTTCATGCCCCCGACAGCTTCAGGAGCCTAGGTCTGCCTGCCCACCCCCCACCCGATCCCAGACACTTAGCCATTGTCCCTACCCAGCCGCCTGCCACCCAAAAGTATTATACATACTGATTTCCCCACCCCAACCGATTATCCTGTGATTGATTTTTTTTAATTAAAAAATATATATATATTTTATTGATTTTTTACAGAGAGAAAGGGAGAGAGATAGAGAGCCAGAAACGTCGATGAGAGAGAAACATCGACCAGCTGCCTCTTGCACACCCCCTACTGGGGATGTGCTCGCAACCAATATACATGCCCTTGACCAGAATCGAACCTGGGACCTTTCAGTCTGCAGACCGACGCTCTACCACTGAGCCAAACTGGCTTCGGCTGATTGACTTTTTTTTTTTAACGCAGTATCTCAAAAGTATTGGAAATCATAGACTATAACATACTAAACTTCTCTGGCCCCAACTACCAGCTCTGTCCATCTCAATCGTTTGTCACATTTATTTCGAATATTTTAAAGAACTAAAGTGCTGCAAATAAAACAGAAGCCCCATTCCCTGATCTCTCCCTTCTTTCTCACCCCCGGGGCAACCATCTTGTTGAATTTAATGTTTATCATTCCCTTGCAAGGCATCATTTTCTCTTTGGGGTTTTTCTTCTTTAGTTTTTTACAACTATGAATTCTGAATGCCTCTGTATTTGTTAGGATGCAACTTCATTTGAGCATGTGTGTGCTTTACTGTGTCCAAGTTACAAAAAGTGCTCACCAGTCTCTCCTCTGTCCGGAGACAGTGTATAAAGGATAATCTTTTTGTCCCAACTAACTCCATGGAGCCAGCTGTCTCTCATTCTGTCCCTTGTGCATGCATCACTTCCCATTCCAGTGCAGATACCAGAGACCTCCAGCAACTTCCTCACCCAGTGGTTTGATCCCAATTTCTTGGCGCTCAGCCAAGCTGCTCTGTGCTCTGACATTCAGGAATTCCACTCAGACCTCCAAATGCAATTGAGCCCAGGTCATGGGGCTGCTGACCTCACCTGCTAGGTGAGTGAGGCCAGTAGCAGGCTGGCCTCGACGTCGACTAGGAGGCTGGTACCCTCCCAACGATCTCAAAGGCTGGGGACATTCTCACCTCCACCTCGAACCACTTACTCATCAGCCAGAAGGAATCTGGCTCCTGCCACAGTCCAGAGCACCAGCCACTGCTTTTTGCCTCCTGCCTCCTCAAGACCCATGTCCCATTGCTCTCACAGGCACCACCACTGGGGCTCTAGTCCTCGAATCTAAAAAGCCAATTTTTGGTCCTTCTAATGGCTAATTTTTCCTTCCCCACCCTCACCAGTCCTGGATTTATCTCCTAAAGGGCTTGAGAAAGGATTAGAGGGTGGCACTTCAGGGACCAGATTATTATTGTTGTTGTTATTGTTGTTGTTGTTATTACCAGAGGCCCAACATTTGTGCACTGGGGGTGGGGGTGGGGGAGGTCAGCCCAGCCTGTGTCCTCTCACAGTCCAGGAGCCCTCCTGAGCCATCAGTCGGACATCCCTAGCTCTTCCGTGGAGGTGAGAGAAGCTCCCTCCATGGCAGCTGTGCTCGCCAGCCTTCTGCTCAGCTCAGGGCTTCTGGCTGAGTGCACTGACCGCCAGAGGGCAGCTCCTGCATTGAGCGTCTGCCCCCTGGTGGCCAGTGCACATCATAGTGACCAGTCATTCCACCATTCGGTTGATTTGCATATTAGCCTTTTATTATATAGGATTATTATTATTTTAAATTCTCACCCAAGGATATGTGTTCATTGGTTTTTGAGAGGGAGGGAAGGGGAGAGAGAGAGAGAGAAAGAGAGAGAGAGAGAGAGAGAGAGAGAGAGAGAGAGAGAGAGAGAAACAGTTGTCTCTATTATGCACCCCAAACAGGGATCGAACTGGTAACCTGGATATGTTTCCTGAAATGGAATGCAACCTCCAACCTTTTGGTGTACAGGATAATGCTCCAACCGAGTCATACCAGCCAGGGCAGGGACCAGATTATTGTCCCAGCCTTCTCTCACTTTCCCGTCTCCATGCTACTCTTGTGAGCTACCCTTCCCCCATTCCTATCATCTAAATATTAACCATCTTTTGTTGTTAATCCTCACTGGAGAATATTTTTTTTACACACACACACACACACACACACACACCTACATGTACCCTGACCCCAAATGGGACTGGGGATGGAACTTGCAACCTAGATATTTTCCCTGACCTGCAATCTAATTTGTGACTCTTCGGTGTATGTGCTGGTGTTTCTAACCATTTTGCAATACTGGCCAGGATAATATTAACCATCCCTTATGGATTAGTTCAAGTGTCATCTCCTCTAGGAATGTATTCTTCAGCCCATTATACTGAAGTAGATTTCTTTTCCTTTTGTTTCTTACCTTGCCTTGCTCTTGACATTTGTCTCACTTTGTCTTATCCTACAAGTGTGTGCGGCTCATTTTTCTTCCTACCTGTGAACCCCCATCAGGGCATTCCTGTCTGTGTCCCAGAATCCATTACATTAACTGGTACTTACACAGGTGCTAGACAAGTTTGCTGAGTAGAACTAGAATGTGGATGAACTCCCACCCCTGTCCTGCCCTTAGCACTAGCGGCTTGTAAGGGGCATCCTTCACCTGTGGAAAGGTACTTCTGAGCCTCGACAAATTCACTGTTTCACTCCCTCTGTCTCTTCTTGGATTTTGCTGTCATGGAGCCTCTTAAATGGGTCTAATGGGCTAAAATAATTAAGAATCTGCTCTTGCTTTACAGAGAAGAAAAGTCCTGGCTTTCAAGGTGTGAGTCCTGAGAACAAATAGAAAAAGACTCTGGGGTCCTCCCCACCACCACCCCTCCAGGCTAGAGTCCTCTGACTCAGTTCTGTAAACTAAGGTCACATCTCTTTTCCAACTCCTCCAGGGAGGTAGAAGTGGCCCTGTCAACCTAAGTAAGGCAAAGAACAGCCCTTCTTCCCCCGCTCTGTCTGCACTAAAAGCAACCAGGGTTAGGATTCTGGCCAGGAAACTGAAGGAGAAGGGCTTTGGGGACATTCTGAGCAGGCCCACGGGAGGCTGCCATGATAGGGAGCCATTGAGAGCTGGCTGATTTCAGGGCTCATCTTAAGCTCTGGGTCACTGGAGTAAGCCAGGAGCAAAGGCTGCCCATTTTAGCCACATCCCACTTCTAGCCTTCTTATTACAAGCTGTAGATCTGTAAGCGGTGTGGGATTTGTGGGATAATAAAATTGTTTGCGGGGAAGGTTACACAAGTCTCTGAATATACTAAAAGCCACTAAAAAGTGTTCACCTTTAATGGATATAGAATACGGTATGTGTCTTGGTCTGCTCAAGCTGCTTTACCAAAACACCATGAACTGGTGGTCTATAAACAACATAAATTTTTTTTTCTCAGAGTTCTGGAGGCTGGGAAGTCCAAGATCAAGATGCCAACAGATTTTGAATCTGATAAGAGCTTACTTCTTGGTTCACAGATAGTGCCTTCTTGCTGTGTCCGCATAGCACACAGAACAGCAAGGTAGGTCTTTGGGGCCTTAAAAAAAAATCCTCACCAGAGGATATGTTTTTCTTGCTTTTGAGAGAGGAAGGGGCAGGGAGAAGGAGAGGGAAAAGGAGAGAAGGAGAATGAGAGGGAGAAAGGAGGGGGGGAGGAGAGAGAAAGAGAGAGAGAGAGAGAGAGAGAGAGAGAGAGAGAGAGAGAGAACATCAATGTGAGAGAGACATTTCAATCAGTTGCCTCCTGAATGTGCCCAGACTGGGGACTGAACCCAAAACTTAGGTATGTATCCTGGCTGAGAATTGAACCTGCAACCTTTTGGTATATGGGATAATGCGCCAACCAACTCAGCCACCTGCTCAGGGTCCCATTTGTACTTCTTTTTTTTTTCTTTCTTTTTTTTTTAATATATTTTATTGATTTTACACAGAGAGGAATTGAGAGGGACAGAGAGTTAGAAACGTCGATGAGAGAGAAACATCGACCAGCCGCCCCCTGCACATCCCCTACTGGGGATGTGCCCGCAACCAAGGTACATGCCCTTGACCAGAATTGAACCCGGGACCTTTCAGTCCGCAGGCCGACGCTCTATCCACTGAGCCAAACGGGTCCCGGCCCATTTGTACTTCTTAATCCCTTCATCCTTTTCACTCAGACTCCCCACCAAACCCTCCCATCTGGCAACCATCAGTTTGTTCTATATATCTATGATAGATCGCAGCTACAGAGGGCTCCTTGGAGAGATAATTGGTTACAGGGCTGGGGCTGGTAAAGCATGAGATGAACCTGGAACATCTCATTGTGTCAGAATGTAAAGAAGTGTTCAGAGAATGATGGAGATATGGTAAAAGGATACAGAAGCCAGCCTGAGGGGGTTCCCACTGATTAAAATGGGGATAACTTGAGCATCAAAATAATAAATGATTGTAATATGTAATATTCACATAGTTTCAATGTACTTCCCTACAAAATACTTATTAATTACAAAGGGGAAAAGGGTAACTTTGAAGTGGATAAAACTGACTATAGTGGCTGAATGGTGGTCTCCAAAAAGATATGTTGATATCTTAATCGTGAGGACCTGTGACTGCTACCTTACTTGGAAAAAGAGTCTTTGCAGATGTGAATAAGTTAATAACTATCTAGACGGCCACTAGACTTAATGACAAGTGTCCTTGGAAGAGACACACAGAAGAGAAGATGATGTGAAAACCGAGACAGAGATTGAAGTGATGCAGCTACAAACCAAGGAATGCCAAAGAATGCCCAACAGCCAATAGCAGCTGGAAGAGGCAAGGAATGAATTTTCCCCTTGAGTCTTCAGGAGTGTAGTTCTGCCAATGCCTTAATTTTGATTCCTGCCTCCAGAATTGTGAAAGAGTACATATCTTTTGTTTTAAGTCACCAGTTTATAGTAATTTGTATGCAGCCACAGGAAACTAAGACACTAGCAGACACCACCTTAAGCAAGTGATCAAGTGGACAGCCTCAGTAATGGAACAAATTAAAACCATGAGCAGTTGATAGAATGCAAAGAGAGGAACGTGGCATTACTTCTGTGACATTACCATCAAAGATGCATGACCATCCATATTAATAAAAGCCTAGGTGGCCCTTGCACCCTCATGTCATCTCAAGATGGCCACCCCCATGTTATCACAAGATGGCCAGCAGGTAGGTCTTTGGGGCCTTTAAAAAAAAAGTGTGGGCGATCAGGCCAGCAGGGGAGGGCAATTAGGGGTTATCAGGCTGGCAGGGGAGCAGTTAGGAGTCAATCAGGCCAGCAGGGGAGCAGTTAGGGGGTGCTCATGTTGGCAGGCAGAAGCAGTTAGGGGCAATCAGGCAGGCAGGCAGGCAGGCAGGCCAGTGGTTAGGAGCCAGCAATCCTGGATTGTGAGAGAGATGTCCCATAGGATCAGGCCTAAACCAACAGTCAGACATCCCCTGAGGGGTCCCAGATTGGAGAGGGTGCAGGCTGAGCTGAGGGACACCCCCCTTCCCAGTGCATGAATTTCATGCACCTGGCCTGTAGTATAATAATAATGAAATGTCTGACAAACCACATGAGGGAGACTCTACAAAATTACTGGATTGTAACCTTTAAAAATTTCAATGTCATGAAAGTCAAGAAAAGACTGAATAAATGTTCCAGATCGAAGGAGACAAAAGAGATACGCAATGAGTAATTCCAGGCTGGACCCTTTTGTTATAAAGCACATTCTTGGGCACATTCTTTTTGTTATAAAGCACATTCTAGTGTAGCTCAGTTGGTTAAAGGATTACTCTGTACACAAAAAGATTTTGAGTTTGATTCCTGGTTGGAGTGTATATGGGTGGCAACTGATCCCAATCGACATGTCCCTTACATCTATCTTTCTCTTTCTCTCTCACCTGCTTCCTTTCTTTCTCTGTAAAATCAATAAAAACATGTCCTCAGGTGAGGATTAAAAACTAATAAAAATGAAGGCCATTCTTGAGACAATTGTCAAAATTGAATGGAATCTGAGGACTAGGTGGTATTAATATATTAATATTAATTCCCTAATTCTGATGGCTGTATTGTGAATATATAAGAGACTGTCCTTGTTTGTAGGAAATACACACTACAAACACTTCAGGGGTGATGAGTCATTCTGTTGGCAATTTACTCTCAAATGATTTAAGGGGAAAAGTTCTGTGTAATGTGCTTTCTGTACATTTGTGATTGCTTCCACATAAAATACTTATTAAAAATAAAAAGACAAGGGACAAAAGGACAGATTCATAAAACGATTATGTCCTGGCATGGTGTTATTCAGTGGTTAGAGCTTCCACCATGCACTGAAAGGTCTCCGGTCCTAGTCTCAGCAAGGGCATGTGCCTAGATTGCAGTTTCGATCCCCAGCCTGATCCGGATGCATGTGTCTCTCTCACACTGATATTTCTCTCTCTCTTTCTCCCCTCTCTTCTCCTCCCTCCCTTCCTCTCTCTCTCTCTCTCTCTCTCAAAAAAAAAAAAAAAAAAAAAAAAAAAAAAAGGAAAAACATCCTCAGGTGAGGGTTAACCAAAGTAAAAGTAAATAAGTAAATAAATAAAATGATAGATATGCTTATCATCACAAACTGGAAGAAAACCCACAACAATGATAATTACATTAAAGATACACTGAGTGGCCAGATTACTATGACCACCTGATGTTTGTAGGCAAATTAGCCATACACTGCATCGTATGGGATATGGAAACAGAACGCCTGTTTGAACACCTTTGCCGTCTGCAGTTACCAAGATAAAACATCTCCAATTTGCACAGGAACACAAGGATTGGACAGTGGAGCATTGGAAAAAAGTCATGTGGTCCGATGTGTCATGTTTCCAGTTGCATCATGCAGATGGCAGAGTGAGAATTTCGTGGAAACAGCATGAAAGCATGCACCTCACAGGCATGAGTACAACCCTTCAAGCTAGTGGGGGTAGTATTATCACTTGGGGCATGTTTTCCTGACATGATTTGGGCCCTTTAATTCATGTGGAACAACAACTAAATAGCACAACATTCCTAAGTATCGTTGCTGAGCAAGTTAATCCTATCTTGTTGATGGTGTATCCCAATGGAGATGGCTTCTTCCAACAAGACAATGTGAGGTGCCACGGTGCTCATATTGTGCAGGAGTGGTTTCAAGAACATGAGGGAGACTTTACCTTGCTTAGGTGGCCCCACAATCACCAGATCTCAATCCAATTGAGCATTTGTGGGACGAAGTTAAAAGAGCCATCAGGCAGCTGGTCCCACAACCATCAAATCTCACAGTACTGGACAGTGCTATTCATCAGGCATGGTGTCAGATTCCTCACATCACCTTTCAGCATCTCATGGAGTCAGTGCCAAGAAGAATCGCTGCAGTATTGAAGGCAAAAGGTGGCCCAATGAAGTCCTGATGGGGTGGCCATAATAATCAGGCCGCTCAGTGTATGATTATACTAGAGGCCCAGTGCACAAAATTCGTGCACTCGAGTGGGGGGTTCCTCAGCCTGAATTGCAGCCTCTCACAGTCTGGGAGCCCTCAAAGGATATGGGGAGCACGCACTAAGCCATCAGTCAAACATCCTTAATGCTACTGAGGAGGTGAGAGAGGCTCCCACCACCACTGCTGCGTTAGCCAGCCATGAGCCTGGCTTCTGGCTGAGTGGCGCTCCCCCTGTGGGAGCACAATGACCACCAGGAAACAGCTCCTGCATTAAGCATCTGCCCCCCCGGTGGTCAGTGTGTGTCATAGCGACCAGTTGTTTTGCTGTTCGGTCGATTTGCATATTAGCTTTCTATTATATAGGATAATGTCTTATTATGGGCAAGGCCTCTAATTCAAAAATTTTTTTTTTTTAGGTAGTTAAAGGGAGGGGCAGAATTTTCACTTGAGCCTGAAGCTAAAATTGCCCTTAGTTCAAAAATCTCATACCACTGAGACACATGTTGGTGAGGCTCATTCTGAACCCCCACACTGTTCTATTATGTGTATAAGTATTGGGAACCATCTTATCTCTTTAGAGAAAGGAACCTTTTGTTATGTTATAATACAATGACTATCTCATGAGCTGTGTTTTGGCTGCAAGCCTATATCCAGTATTCATGCAGCAACTAACTTCAGCTCTTCTGGTTCAATATTTATCTGGCATATCTTTTATTTTATTTTCTCTAAACATTTCTAGATTTTTATGTATTAGATAGGAATAGCCCATGGACACAGACAATAGTCTGGCAAAAGCCTGGAAGGGGTGGGTGCAGGGTGGAGGAGATCAATGGGGAGGGAAAAAACCCTATAACAAAAGGACATCTGTAATACTTTCAACAATATAGACATATTTTAGATAAAGGAAAATATCTTAGTTGAAAAGAGTTTTATGTGAAACAATATAAGTAATTGCTCTACATTGTACTTTATATTCCCAACTCTTCTCAAAGAGATATTAATTGACCCTATGTTCACTTAATATTAATTGACCCTATTTCACTGACTGCAGGACTGACATCCGCCACACTGACCCAGCACAAACTGCCACGGGGTTTGTGATCAGACCCTGCTTTTCTCTCCGGCCTGATCGCAGCCCGCTTGGTCAAGCCTTCAGTCATTTTGGACGTTGCGAACCCTGGCTCTTTATATATATAGATTAAATGTGTAACATTTCTCTGCTCTAAATATTTAGAGTTTAGTTTAATAAATATGTGCTGAGACATTTATGCCTACTATCTGCCAGGCATTGTGCTAGGTCCAAGGGATCCTGGGAAAAATGACAATGTGTCCATAGAAGAGGGGGCTGTGGGATGTGTGCTGGCTGGTTGCTAAGGACAAGGATGCTGCTGGAGCACAGGGAAGGCCTGACGCCAAGATGAGGGGAGGGGCCTGAGGGAGGGATGCTTGGAATGTGGTTCTCTTGTTTTTCTTTTAAGAATAACAATAATGAAAGATATTGGGAGTCCCGTCTGCATCCGTAGCCCTGAGGAGGGAGAAGAATGGGAGCTTTCAGAGTCTACAGAGCATGGGCGGCTGGTGGGCTGAGTTTTAGGCTCCTCCCGGTCTGAAACAGCGTGGGGAGGAACTGGAGTTACATTCCAGGAAAACCACTGGGTGGTGTGTGGAGGGGCCTGATGGACCCTTGGAGGAGGAGAGAGGGGCAGGGGCCAGGGAGGGGCAGGTTGCCATCACTGCCCTCTGAGGACAGGCCCTGGAGGGGGACACAGTGGCCCCAGCCCAGGCCACGCAGAGTCCTGGAACCCAGGGAGCAATCCGGTCGTTGATGTTTCAGCATCACATCCTTGTCTGGGCTGTCAGGCTGAGCAGGGCCCTGGAGTTAGTCCCAATCTGTTTCCTTCTATTCTTTGACAGGAAGCTCCTGGAGAGCCAGCCCCCAGCCCCTCCCCCTCCCAGCACTCCCTCTCTCTTCTCCACTATGGACAGAGCCTCCACGGAGCAGCTGCCTGCCCACCACAGACCCAGCTGACATGGGGACCGCTGGAACCACACAGCTGTGCTGGGTGATCCTGAGCTTCCTCCTCCTCCAAGGTAAGAGGCACTGCCGCTCTGTCAGCAGGTCCCCTCCGGGGGCTGGCAGGCCTGGGCGCCTGCCCCTCCTTCGGGACACACACCACATACACGGCTCTCCATCCAGGGCTGTGTCCAGGGGGAATTCCAGAGCCTCTCATGGAGGAGATCGGTTGGATGGGGAGGTAGGCATTCCCGGGCACGGGTGAAATAGCACACGGTTACACCCTTTTGTGGGAAAATTTCCAGGGTGAACCAGGGCTTCCATGAAGGCTGGCCTCCTAAAGTGTGGGATGCGGCTGGCTGTCTCGGTGTAAGACTGAGGTCTGAAAGCTCCTTCTGGGATGTTCTAGCACAAAACTGTCTGCGCCTTGGGCTTTACAGCGATCTCTCTCTTTTTAAAATTTTTTTTCTTCCGTATGGGGAGTAACAAATACCGACTCTAAGTTCACACACAGCACGAGGGATTCAAGTTAGGTACAAAGAACTGTTCGCCAAAGAGGACGTATTCAACACCCTCAGCCAGGGGGCTAGGTGAGATGGCCTGCAGGGGAGATAACTTGAAAACTCCTCTTAGATGGGGCTTTGCTCGCTGATGCGTGGGGGAAACAGCTCGTAAAGGGTCCTCTCAGTAGGCAGCTGTTGCTGGGAACCATGAGAAATCCAGGAGATTCTGACTCACCGGGCAGCAACTTCCCTTTGGTCATTCCCTCCCACCCCCGCCTCACCGTCCACGAGTCCCCGGTGGAAGATTCACGAACCTGGGCTCAGATAGCCAAAGAGAACCCACGCACGAGTGCTTGGGTGGGAGAGGGAGGATGCCTGAGTACCAGGAGCCTGCCTTGTGGAGAGGGCAGGCATTTCTTTACAAGTCCACACGTTGGAAGTAAAACTCTGATTTTTACTTCCCAGAGGATAGAGTCACGCATTTGATCTGGGCCTGGGGGACGAGGCTGTTGTCCAAACGGCAGAGAAGATGAAAAGGTGTAGCTCATGGGGTGGCGTTTTCATAGGCCCAGGCTTCTCTCAGCGTCCCTACCCATTGCCCTGTCCTGGACGAGTGCCAGGGCTAGGAATGCCCTGTGTAAACTCCACCGGAGCCATGCTCACCGCTTGAGTTTCCTAGCCCTTATCTAATATCTCAGAGCACTCACTGTCTCCTTCATTTTGGAGGGCTGAGGAGTCCTTCTGGGGATAGGCAAAGGGACTGGACTCTCGATACACACATCAGGGCAGGGCAGACTGGAGACTTGGAGGATTTGAGAGAATGAGGCAAAATTAAAAATGTTTAGCATTTATTGAGCATGGTCTCTGTCTGGCAGGCACTATGTTAAGTACTTTATATGCATCTTCTTATCTTCACAACCACTTAGGAAGTACTAAAATCACTTGCACTTTAACAAAGAGAAAAACTAAAGCCCGAGCCAGTAAGTGACAGAGTCAGGACTTACTCTCAAGCCAGTCAAATTCCAAAACCTATTATTTCAACTACTAAGGTATGCTGCTGAGAAAAACAGGATGGTGGTGGTGGAGGGGGAGGCGAGAGGGGCAGGTAGTGATTAGGGAGGGGAGACCGGAAAATAAGAAATCCCAGTGGCCAGTGGCCTTTGGTTGTCTGCGTGTCCAGTGGTCAGAGGCACCCTGGCCTGTAAAAACAGATGCTCCTTTAATCCCTTCTCTTCTCACAGAGGAATCTCCTGATGACAAAAAGTTCCAGTAAAAGGGGGTGGAGAGCAGGTGACAAAGAGCAGTCTGCCGAGAATTGGAGCTTGTGACTTTGGAACTCATTCCAAGACATAAATTTTGTTTTTAGATAAATGTGGGAAGGCAGGCACTGTGCCCTCCCGCTGAAAACTAAAGTTATAACCATATAGAACTTAGATGGTATCTAAGGTACCTTCTGATGGGTGCTTTCAGAACATGCTTTGGATTAAAAGGGTCATTCCCCAGCTGGGAAAATGAGGCAAAATTAAAAATGTTTAACATTTTAGTGTGGGACACCTACAAGTTTTAACTCCCCTCTCGACCCCCGACCCAATCAGGGGATGAAGTGTCAGAGATGGTGACCTGGAAAAACAGCCTTGGCATGGCCTCGGGTTTGGGAACGGGTGGGCTTGGAAACAATTAATTCCACACCATCCAAGTGATAGCCCCGTGGAGGAAGGCAGCGGCTAAGGAAAATAAACAGACCAACGGCTGGTTGGGCGGGCCCCTGGCCCCTAGCTGCTTCGGTTCACCCAGGCCCCAGCTTGGTACTTCCCTGATTATGGGCGCTGAGGGAGCAGAGGGCCAGGCCAGCGGCTGCCGTCCCAGCCTGCGTGGAGGGACGGGAACCCAGCTGGGCGGCTCCACTTCCCCACGTTTTCCTTTCACATTGTTCACAGGTTTCAAGAATGATTTCATTGTGGAAAATGAGCAAACACAACCTGACCTTTGAGGTCCCGCAGACACAGCGGACACATATATGTCACACAGGCACACACACACACACACACACACACACACACACACACACCTGCCTAGAGGTTGGCAGGCATACACATGTAGTCATGAAACAATCTAGAGAGAGCTTCTTACTGGGGCATCCTGACAACTTTCTCCCTGGGTTTGGCCAACAACAACCATTATTGAGAAGCCTCTGTCTGTGAGAGTTAAGTTAACCGCTCATCTAAGAGCTTCCCTGCTCCTGGTCCCCTACCTCTGGCTGGAGGAGGGCACAGAGATAGCCCAGATCCCAACCCCAATCCCTAACTCCATCTTACTCATCACATCTTTCCATCCCCTGCCCTTGGGCAGGACTAGTATGACGGACACTGTTTGCAGGGTAGAATGGATGGCACTGTGGAAGTCTGATGTCAGCATTCGTTTGGAGACCTGGAGCTTTTGTCTAGACTTGGCAGGCGTCTGGCCCTCTGTCCTCGGACATATCACTATTTTAAAATAACCTTCCCCTGACATTGTGTCAGGTTGCTATAAAACCCATGTGGGATTGAAGAGACAGGAAAGGACTCTGGGAACTGAGTCATGAGGTGGTGGTGGTGATGATGCTATTCAGTCATGAGCTCAGAGGAAGCCAGCCCCGTAAGCTGGAGCCACATCCTTTAGCGTCTGTCAGCATGGGAGGCTTGAAAGCCAGAAGGCCTTGGCTTTTCTGGGGGCTCTGTGCTGGGTGGGAGACTCACAAAGCTAGTCTATGCCTTTTGCTTTCTCTTGCAGGCCACAGCTCCCAGCCCATGACAATGCAGCGCTCTAGGCAACAAGGTAAGAGCAAACACACAGGGACTCCTCCAGCATTTAGGTCTGGGAGCTTAATAAAGCCGAGGAGAGCTCTAGGCAATGTTTCACACAGATCTTAGCTGACTAGGGGTGGGGCCAGTGCTCTCAGGACATCCAAAGCTGAGCTCATCTAGGGACTTTTTTCAGCTTGGCCCAGTCTAACTTGTTTTGAAAGAGAGAGGTGAATGGTTGCAGATGAGGGGTGGGGTAAGAAGAAAGACTAGAAAACACCAGGGGTAGGGAAGAAGAAAGGGACTCAGAGCAATAACAGGCAATAGACCGTCAGCCTCGGATGATCTGTTTCAGGAGCCATCATTCTAAATCTGACTGTACTGCTACCTTCTCCCAACACAGGTTGGGAGTGTGGTTGCTGAGGGGTCAATCCCTGCCCCCTGCCCAGCCCTTTGCCCAGCCCTTCAGACTTGCTTGCAGCCCAAGAGTTCTCATAGGGATTGGAAGTGTGTGTCATCAAACCTGCCCCACCTCCAGCTCCCCCTATGCCTCAGTCCTTGGGAGGGAACAGCTCTTCCTCAGAGCCCAACAGCCCAAGCCCTCTGTCCAGTACCAGTACCAGTGCCCCAAGTACTCTGCCACTGAAACTATAAATTCCATCAAGAGAGGGTCCAAAGAGGAAGCAGACACAGTGTCAGTTCTAAAGGAGAATATGTTGGAAAAACAGACAAGTAAACAAGATCTTACCCTGACAATTACAGATAGGGTAGAAGGATTGTGTAGGCATAAGATGACGGTGCTATTGGAATCCAGAAAAATGTCAGCCACTTCTGACTTGGGGTACATCCCAGATTGCTTCTAAAGCTAAGGCCGGAGAAGGGGTTGACCAAATGAAGATTGTGGGGTGAAGGGGGATAGGGTGTATTCCAGGCAGAGGAGACAGGTGAAAAGGAGGATGGCTCCTTCTGGAAGTGAAAGCAGTAATAAAAAGAACAATTTTGGACTAAAGAGCCTTCCCTGGGTACATGCTGGATGAAGCCATAGCAGGCCCACAAATGCTTCCTAATCCACAGCTGCTCCAGAGAAGGCCTCACAGGGCCCCACAGGTCCCAGTAAACCTGTGATGTCAAGGTCAAGCACCATGGATGGTCACTCCCCACCCCAGCCACAGGAGCACACATCAGGATCTGGTAAGTATCAAGCTGGGTTCCTTCCTCTCCTCTGGAGGGGGCCCAGGTCCTGCCCCCCAATGAGGGGTCTCAGGATCCACATCAGTGGCATCCTGGAGAGAATGAGAGAGGGTTGGTGGGGAGTAGAGACAAGGACTTGGACCTGGTCACAGTGAAGGTAGAAAGAGTTGATTCAGGATTGATAAAGGCATAGAGAAGGAAAGGAAGGGTTAGGAGAATCCAAAATAATGGAAAGGAAGGCAGAAAAGATTGGGAAAGAGTTACCTGCTTCTCAAGCAGCATGGGAGAAGAGCGGGGCAGGGTGGTTACCCTCCACCTTGGCCTGCTGTTCCTGGCACCGGCACAGGGGTCCCAAGCAGCAGCAGTGGCTGGCCAGAGGCAGAGGCATGTCCTGTCTGTGCTCACAACAAAGAAACCCTGATCCTTTCTCTCATCCTACCCCTTGGCTCTGGGTGTGTGTGTTATTGTTTGTGTGTGTGTGTGTGTGTGTGTGTGTGTGTGTGTTTTGTTTTGTTTTTTGTGTGTGTTTAAATATATTTTATTGATTTTTCACAGAGAGGAAGGGAGAGGGATAGATAGCTAGAAACATCGATGAGAAAGAATCATCAATCAGCTGCTTTCTGCACACTTCCTACCGGGGATGTGCCCGCAACCAATGTACATGCCCTTGACCGGAATCAAACCTGGGACCTTTCAGTCCGCAGACCGACGCTCTAGCCACTGAGCCAAACCGGTTTCGGCGGTGTGTGTGTGTTTTATAGTCCCAGACATTTTTAGAAGAGGGGTGAGGACAAAGAAATAGAACAGCAATCAGGCCTGCAGTACAATGAGTCTCAGAGGGGATGAGATGGAGGACCATACCACTTTTTAAGAGGGCCAGAAACATACGCCCGTTCACTGGCAGGCTGGCATGTTAGATCAGTGCCTGGAGACAAACATCCGGTGCCCTTCTTTCCTCCCTCTCCAACTCTTGGCAAAGAGATGGCTCAGCCTTGCCCAGCCTGTCTCCCTATGTCTGCAGCGTAAATCCCTTTCCGCTGGGCTCCAAGGGGGTGGTGGGAAGAGCATAATGAGGGAAGCATCCTGGACTTTCTGGAGTCCTTTAGAACTAGTGACACAAGCAACCAGCAATCTAGTCATGTGATCCAACAGCACCCAATTCTGACCTTCACCCTCATGGGACCTGGTCAGAGGAGCAGGGAGGAAGTTTTTCTGTAGGGCTTGATCTCTCCCTGCAGTCCTCTCCCTGGAGGAAATGTGTGTGTGTGTGTGTGTGTGTGTGTGTGTGTGTGTGTGTGTGTGTGTGTGTATGGGTATGTGTGTGTGTGTGTGTGTGTGTGTGTGTGTGTGTGTGTGTGTGTGTATGGGGGTGTGAGTGGAAACACTAGTTTTCTCTAGTAAGTTGAATAAGTCCTTTTACTGAAGCACCCATCACCATTTCGTTTTAGACACCTCTCAAAATGTTACTTCCAAATTGGCCACCACGAGCCCGAAGACAAGAGAAGACCCCACCATTCTGCCCACCCCTATGTCAGAGCAAGTGCTCACTGTGGCTGCATTTGGTGAGAGGAAGGAGAAGGTGGGATGTGGCAGGGGACCCCACCTTTGAACTGACTGGGACACTGGTCAGGAAACACAAGTTCAAATTTCACCCATTTGTGCTAGAGGGTTTGGCTGACAACGAAGGCTTTGGTGGGAAAGAGCATCCACTGACTCTAGTCAGCTCTTCTGGGTTCTGCTAGGCTTCCTGTTCTTATGGGAAGATGGGAGAAGGGCTGTGGAACCCACTCTGGCCAGGGCAGCAAGCTGAGAGCTCATTAATTCACAGAGAAGGGGAATTCAAAATTCACTTTGCTCTGGACCCTGTCTACAGAGCACTTAGCTAGGAAGAGAATTTGAACTTGTGTTATCCTCTCTTGTCCCCTCCTCTCCCTCCTCTTCACCCCACCCTTTCCCTGTTCAGGTGTCATCAGCTTCATTGTCATCTTGGTGGTTGTGGTGATCATCCTGGTCAGTGTGGTCAGTCTAAGGTTTAAGTGTCAGAAGAACAAGGAATCTGAAGGTACACGCCTGAGCCTTGGGGGCCCTCCTTTGCCTCTCTTTGCCGAGGGACCCAGAGCTAGATTCTGGGACTGACACCCAGCCTAGAGTTGAGGGAAGGAATGGGAACATCAGCACCATTAGATGAAATGGGAGGGTCCACATGGGTGAACTTTGAGGGGCAGGTTGGGCTTCTGAATAACAACATGTGACCCCCAATCTGTGCCTTTGGATTTTTACAGATCCCCAGAAACCTGGGAGTTCAGGGCTATCTGAAAGGTAAGACTGTCAGAGATGTAAGCAGGCATTATCTATCTGACTTCTCAGTCTTCCCTCCAAGAGGGAACCAGAGCTTCCTGCTTTCTCCACACACACACACACACACACACACACACACACACACACACACACACACACGGAATCCTGACAGCCTCCACTGAGACCAGAGCTAGGGGCAAGCAGGACAAGAGCAGACTTGAAAGGAAGAAATCAGGTGACAGGAGATGGACTGGAACCCTTTAGCTCCAGGGCTGAGCACCTTTTACCCCTTCGTGAAAAGTGTAGAAATTTAGCCCTAGCTGGTTAGCTCACTGGATAGAGCGTTGGCCTGGCGACTGAAGGGTCCCAGATTCGATTCTGATCAAGGGCATGTACCTTGGTTGTAGGCACATCCCCAGTAGGGGGTGTGCAGGAGGCAGCTGATCTATGCTTCTCTCTCATCAATGTTTCTGACTCTATCCATCTCTCTTCCTCTCTGTAAAAAAAAAAAAAAAAAAAAAAAAAAAAAAATCAATAAAGTATATTTTAAAAAAAAGAAAAGTGTAGGAATTCAGATTCTAATATATCCCTTAAATAAGAAGATACTTATTTAAGGAACCATTTATTGAATACCTTCTGTGTGCCAAGCCCTTTGGTAGATATTTGTTAATATTATCTCAAATTGGGCAATGGTAAGATATTTACACATATAATATCTTAATAAAAAATGGAAAAAAAAATTAGCTCAAGTTCTTAGAGCAATTCTTCCTGTCAGATATCACTGCATTTTATACATTTAAAAATTGAGACTTGAGAGGTCATAACTCAGTCAAGATCACACAAGGTAGTAAAACAAAGATTTAAATACAAGTATTTTGAGCTTCAAAACACACTCTCGCCGAAACTGGTTTGGCTCAGTGCATAGAGCATCGGCTTGGGGACTGAAGGGACCCGGGTTCGATTCCGGTCAAGGGCATGTACCTTGGTTGCGGGCATATCCCCAGTAGGGGGTGTGCAAGAGGCAGCTGATCGATGACACTCTCTCTCATCGATGTTTCTAACTCTCCATCTCTCTCCCTTCCTCTCTGTACAAAAATCAATAAAATATATTTAAAAAAAACACACACACACTCATTTCATTATGATCCGCCACCAAAACAAAGGTCTAAGTTTTAACAAGTCCTGTACACGCGCCCCCCCCCCCCCCCCCCCCGCATCGCCCTCCCACTCCTCCTGTCCCTAACCATGTTCCCTTCCTACTCCAGCTGCTCCACAGCCAATGGAGAGAAAGACAGCATCACCCTCATCTCCATGAAGAATATAAACATGAATAACAGCAAAGGATGCCGCTCAGCAGAGAAGGTATGTTTTCTCTGGTTCCCTCCTCCCTTCTCCCTCTTCCTGCTTCCTCAAGGCTCTTGTACTTTAACCAGAAAGGAGATACTTTCAAAGACCCAAGCTCTTCTCTTCTCTTGCCTATTATATTACTACTTCCAAGAAGTTCAGCCTTCCTTCATTAGCTATTTGTTTTGCAGGTTCTTTAAAAGCAACCGTGGGTCCCTATGAGTATGAGGATGATGAAGCTGCCCTGTGCCTGAAAGAAGAAAGGTGATGCCCTAACTGGATTGGCTCAGTGGATAGAGCATCGGCCTGCAGACTGAAAAGTCCCAGGTTCAATTCCGGTCAAGGGCATGTACCTTGGTTGTGGGCACATCCCCAGTAGGGGGTGTGCAGGAGGCAGCTGATTGATGTTTCTCTCCCATTGAGGTTTCTAGCTCTCTGCCCCTCTCCCTTCCTCTCTGTATAAAATTAATAAAATATATTTAAAAAAAGAAGGAAGGTGATATTATCAGTAGAGGCAGTAAGCCACATATAAATTATTTCATTGTTTCACATCTACTCCCAGCTTTAAAGGATACTAACATTACTCCAGATCTGGGAGCAAGCTACCAATATGAGAGACTCTTTCCCAGGTGGACTGCCATTCCAGAAATACGGACAGCTCCTCTCATCTTCTCAAAATCAAAGGAAGGAGAAGTTGGTAGAGCAAAAGCAATAAAAATGACACAAAGTGAATCTGTCCTTTCTACTTGGCATTAAAATTATTTTCTGGCCTGCAGTCTCATTTCTTTAAAGGTCTATGCCCCATGCACATTCTTAACAGAACATTCTAGCAGCTCTGGGGTCTCTTTTTCTAGGTAAAGCATGTATGCCAGTTTCTGCCCCTGTGGGGAGTTCTCTGAGAGATTCGGGAGGTGGAGAGAACTTTCGTCAGGTCTGCTTCTGTCCATTTAACTAAGTAGTAGGAAGTGACTGACTAACCTAACTGCTCTAAAAGAGGGAAGAGAAGCCGAGACTGGTTTGGCTCAGTGGATAGAGCGTCGGCCTGCAGACTGAAAGGTCCCAGGTTCGATTCCAGTCAAGGGCATGTACCGTGGTTGCAGGCACATCCCCAGTAGGAGGTGTGCAAGAGGCAGCTGATGGATGTCTCTCTCTCTCATTGATGTTTCTAACTCTCTATCCCTCGCCTTTCTTCTCTGTAAAAAATCAATAAAATATATTTAAAATAAATAAAAGAGGGAAGAGAAAAGGAGCTATAAACAGTGGCCAATTATCACCAGTAAAGAAATACTAAACCTTGCCGAAACAGGTTTGGCTCAGTGGATAGAGCGTCAGCCAGCGGACTGAAAGGTCCCAGGTTCGATTCTGGTCATGGTTACAGGCACATCCCCAGTAGGGGGTGAACAGGAGGCAGCTGATCCATGTTTCTCTCTCATCGATGTTTCTATCTCTCTATCCCTCTCCCTTCCTCTCTGTAAAAAATTAAATAAAATATTTTTTTTTTAAAAAGAAATACTAAATCTGGAGGTGAGAACATGGGAGGCACAATGCATTCTAATTAGGAAACTCCAGGGGTGAGAGCTAAATACTATAAGGGCAAATGTCCTCTGCATGTCCCAGGGTAAGTAGACATGTCTTACTGTGGTTCCATCTGTAAGAATAACACTGGGAAGGCGTGAAGCAAAGATAGGTCTATGACTTTAAATATGTTTTTATTGATTTGAGAGAGAAGCATTGGGGTGTGTGTGTGTGTGTGTGTGTGTGTGTGTGTGTGTGTGTGGGAGAGAGAGAGAGGGAGGGAGATCGATTGTCTCCTGTACGCACCCTAACTGGGATTGAACCTGCAACCAGAGCATGTACCCTGACAAGGAATCGAACCAGTGACTTTTTGGTGCATGGAACAATGCTCAACGAACTGAGCAACAGCGGCGAGGGTAGGTCTATGACTTTATAAAGCAAAAAGCAAGTACCCACCCACTTTTTCCCATATAGCTTTATCTGTGTGTCCTAAAAATAAAAGATCATAAATAAGGTAAAGTCATTTAAAGAGGAGGAAAAGAAAGCAGCTATCTGTTTTCTAGGTAATCTGTGTTTGAAAATAAATCTTGGGGAGAGTCAATGGAAGAGCCATCTGTGTATGTTTACATGCAGTGTTTAACTTTATAAGCAGGGGAGGACACAGATTACCCATGCTGAAGCCACAATAAGTATTTTCTTCTGGATTTAGACTCTGAAAGGTGATATGAGAAAGCCAAGAACAACAAGTTTTACCTTTTCTGTGTCATTGAAACAATTCAAATGGACGAAAAAGACTTAGTAGATTCTAAAACCCTCTCAGGCAGGGCCTGTAGCCTGCTCGTGTCTGTAGCTCTTAGGTGGTACACTGTGCCCAGCATATGAGAGGTCATGAACACTGGCTCTTGGGTGCAGGAAATCTAATCACAAGGCCGCAGACTCACAGCTTGACTTTGATGAAATCACCTATCATTTCTGAGCCTATTTTCTTTTCAAGTGAGGTAGGTAGACTACTTGCCTTTCCTGAATTTTCTGGTTCTTATATTCTAACATTCTATACATTCTCAATGTAGGAAAAAATTAATCTTTTGAGTACATATTGCTCCAGATGGGAACCAGAGACAAGCCTTAGGTGACTCTGGAAAGTCATTCACATTCTCTGTGCTTAGATTTCCCCGTGTATTCACGTGTATAAAGGAAAGAATGATCCCTCCCGAACCTGTCTACCTTGTAGGTAGTAGGTAAAATGAAATGGTAAATGGAAGTAAAAGTACTAGTTGGCAATTGTAGCAGAAAAGGTGACGTGCCACTGCTGAGATCTCACACTTCAGGATCACGGCACTTGTTCCCTGACTACTGAAGTGTTGGTTGCTAAGGGCTCCTAGCTGGTTGATGGGAATGGCTATGGGGAGAAAGACCCCCACCTCTTGCCTCCATTTCTCCCTCTGCCCCAATCCTGCTTCCCTTACACCTCATAGACATTCCCAGAAGCACTCACCAATAAACCATCAGTGTGCAAATCTCAGTGTCTCAGTCTATTTCCTGGAATACCCACGCTATGACAGCATTACTGCAGCATTTCTAAAAAATTATTCAGCCTGGCCAGCGTGGCTTAGTGGTTGAGTATCAACCTATGAACCAGGAGGTCACGGTTCAATTCAAAGTCAGAGCACATGCCCTGGTTGCAGGCTTGATCCCCAATGTGGGGTGTGCAGGAGGCAGCCAATCAATGATTCTTTCTCATCATTGATGTTTCTATCTCTCCCTCTCCTTTCCTCTCTTTGGAATCAATAAAAATATATATATTTTTTAAATAGCTGAAACAGGTTTGGCTCAGTGGATAGAGCGTTGGCCTGCGGACTGAAACGTCCCAGGTTCGATTCCCGTCAAGGGCATGTACATTGGTTGCGGGCATATCCCCAGTAGGGGGCGTGCAGGAGACGGCTGGTCGATGTTTCTCTCTCATCGATGTTTCTAGCTCTCTATCCCTCTTCCTTCCTTACTGTAAAAAAATCAATAAAATATATTTTAAAAAAATAAAATAAAATAAAATAAAAAATAACTCAGATATCTTTTATTTGAGCCACACTGCTAAAAGCACATGACTTCTTAGCCAGTTTCAGTACAAAAATCCATCATTGAGGTAGAACTCTCCAGGTGACATAACAATGTCTACAAGCACTGGATTCTGTTTCAGTTGTTATTCTGACTGCCATGGGCTGCTTATCATTCTACAGCGATTATGTCAAGGCCATGGGCTTCACTCAGTTGATGTCTCCATTATAAGATCACAATGTCCCCTGACCCTGGACAATGTCCTGCAAACACCAGCTGTTAGTCATAAGCTATTTATATGTCGGGGATAAAGGGTGAACTGGTACTAATGAGATTGAAAGGCTTTCACCTGGAAACTGATGTTATAGTACTATTAATCACGCTGATATTCCGGTTGCTAAATAAATAACTATCCTTTTGGAAGGGATTGAGGATGAATTCACTTAATGCTGAATTCAGCTGGCTAGCAACTATATGAGTGGGGTTTCTGCTGGAGGATCCTACTATTTATGCAAAAACAAGACTCCACCTCTAACAGGAAATCCAAGCGCAGCCTTCTGCAGCTCCTGAAGCGTCCCTGAGACCGTATCTCTTCCTTAATGTCTAGACAACAGGATGGTGGCCATTTATAAGACCACTTCCTCCCTATTCTAACATAGGACTACATGGTCCCAAAGCAGAAACAGGTGATGGGGGGAGGGTGGTTGCTGTAAAGTGTCCTCCTTTCACTTCTTCCCACATCCTGTGGGAGGGCAACCAGCAAACTAGTTCAGGTGCACAGTCAGTCAGACAGAGGGATCATTTACTCAGGATCTTTCTTCCAGGCTTAGATGGGGCAGCATCTCAATCATATAGGGCACACAGCAAACCTCACTATTGCCATAAAAAATTCACTATAGCCAAATCCAGTTTGGCTCAATGGATTGAGTGTTGGCTTGCATTCTGAAGGGTCCCAGGTTCGATTCTGGTCAGGAACATGTACCTTGGCTGAGGGCACATCCCCAGTGGGGTGTGTGCAGGAGGCAGCTGATCAATGTTTCTCTCTCATCAATGTTTCTGGCTCTCTATCCTTCTCCCTTCTTCTCTGAAAGAAAATCAATAAAATAAAATAAAAATTCACTACAGTTCAACAAGCATTTCTAAAAGTAAGTAGAGAAAACAGATAGAAATCTGAGGCTGGCTCTGGGTAAAATAATTCAGTGTACAAAAACAAAACTATAGCAGACCCCTGCCCCTCCCCCCTTGGCCTAGTTCCTGTGCACAATTTCCCAAAGCCATGCTAGTACTACTTAATTCTATTTGAATCTGCTGGAAAACTGTGTCTCTGCTCAGTGTATCCCACTGGATTTGTGGATGTCCTTTCTCACTCCTTTGAACTTCTATACCTTCTTATCTTTGTGAACTGCCTTAGAGATCCCAATTTCCCTTCCCTTATATCTTTCCCAGTCGCTCTCTCACTCTTCCTGCTGTTACTCTTTCCTGACAACACCATTATAAACCCTTTGAATCCACAGCTTCCTCTTACCAAACACAGAGATTGAATTTGACAGTGGGAATTATTTTGTTGAGTGGTTGTTGTGCTTAAACAAAACATGGCACAGAAGTGTTCTATATGTTGGGGTTTGGAGTCAGAAAAATTGCTGGTGATCGAGTCAGAAAAATTCATCTAGAAGTGTTAGTTGAGGTATAAATGAGCTGAAGGGTAATCTGAGAAGGTTGCAAGAATAAATCTCTTTTCTTTTCCTTCTTTTAAGAAAACTGGTCTAGGGTAAATGAGTCATCTAGAAAAAAAGGGGGAACTGAGGTTTCAGAGAATGATAGGAAAGGCTGTAGAGATACCAACCATGTCCAAGAGGCTCCAGTTTCCCAAATCTTGCCCGGCATTTTGTTTTTGTTTGTTAATTCTCACCAGATGATATTTTTCCCCATTGATTTTTAGAGAGAATGGAAGGGAAAGAGAGAGGGACAGAGAGAGGAAAAGAGAGAGAGAGAGATCAATATGAGAAAGACACATTAATTGGTTGCCTCCTCCACATGCTCTGACTGGGGCCAGGGATCCAACCTGCAACCCAGGTACATGCTATTGACTAAGAATCAAATCCAAGACCCTTCAATGTGCAGGCAGATGCTCTAATCACTAAGAACACCTGCCAAGGCTTGTCCAGCTTTCTCTAACCTGAACTCTACTCCTAAGTAGCCCCATAATTCATAGCATGGCTTTTCAATCCAATCACCCACTACAGTGCTCTAGCACTCCCACTCTCAACCAGATATCTCTAACTTCATGCTACTATGACATCTCTGAGTACCTCTAGACCTTAGCCCTGTGCACCTGGACTACAAGGCACGCTCCATCTTTCCCTGTCCATCTTCTAGAGCTATCTGTCTAGTTTCCCAAAACTACGTCATGGATATCCCTGATCAGGTCTCTCATCTTCAGAGCATAGATGGCTTCTTCAGAACCCAGCCTTCTGTGAGTGTGCTGATGCTTATGTATTCCAGGGCCATGGCTAGAGGGATGTATAGTACTGAAGGCTTGTTCCTTTCAGTTTATGTCTAGGGCTGTGATCTCCCCAACCCACTCCAACTGTCTAAGTAGATACTGGTTAATACCATAATTGACATAACTGATTTGGTCTTCCTGGATAAGATCTCAATGAATTCCAGGTAATTTTTGTTTGGGGAAGACCATGATAATTTTTCACTTTTGCACACCCGATCTCTGGCCATCCCAACTCACCTGCAGGCATAAGCCAATAAGGACACTGTACCATCTACCTATGAAGAACTGATTTTATTCTTTGCTAAAAGATTCCATGCAAATCTGAGTGAAGGAATGCAGGACTATTTCTTTGTTTTCTTTTTGCTAATCTTCTAGGGTCTGGTCTTTCAGAGAAAAGGAAGTGATCCAAGGGAACTACTGGGGTGAAAGAGAGAAGAAAAGCCTCAGAAGGGCCCAGGAATATGAGGGGATGAAGGATAAAGAACAGCAAAGACCAACTCCAATGAGTACTTGCTCTTTTTTCTTTCTTTCTCTACTCCTGACCTCCAGTGGTTCCTCTAATGACCTTGTGCCTGAAGAGCTGGGAGAGGAGGGCCATACCCAGTCTGCTCTCTAACCACAAAAATCTACCTCACTTTTCTACTTTTCGTGGCTCTTAAGTTCCCAGGGTTGGGTTCAGCATCCACAAAACCTGTCTCTGAATCTCCAACAGGCATTGATGTATATTTGTTTCTTTAAATTTTTATTTATTGATCTCAGAGAGAAAGAAAGAGAGGGAGGAAAGGAGGAAGAGAAACTTGCTTTATTTTGATTCTTTTATGTGCCCTGACCTGGGATGGAACCTGCAACCTTGGCATATCCCGATGATGCTCTAACCAACTGAGCTAACCGGCCAGGGCACATTAGTGTATATTTTAAAATGACATCTGGAGGATGAGAATATGCAGAGAGAATCCAAGATGGCTGCACAGGTAAACACCTAGCCGCAGCTGCACACAACAATTTCAATAAAATACAACTAAAATATAAAATGGACATTACCCAGAACTACAGGAAAGTCAACTGACTGAAAATTCTACAATGAGAAGCAAGGAGAAAACCAGAAGGAAGAGCGGAGGAGCTGTAAAAGCCTAAGGTACGGAGACACGCGGCGCGCGGAGAGGACGGAGCCAGAGAGAAGGGGCGGCTGAGTGCCTGGCTGGCGTTCCCTAGCGGGAAGGAGATAAAAGCTCCGACTGTGCTGGGCCCCAGTTCCGACTGCTCTGAGCACCAGTTCTAGGCCAGACCACGGGGAACCAGGCTCATCCATAGGGAGCTGGGCTGTAAGGTGGAACCCCGGGGGAGCAGCGAAAGGAGGTCCCGGAGGCGTGCACATTGCATGCAGAGAAGGGACGGTTGGCTGTGCCGCAGGATTGCCCTGGCGGGAAGGAGACAGGGGCTCCAGACTGCTCTGAACGCCACCTCCAACTCCACTTCCAACTGAACTGAACCCCAATACCGGGCTCATTGGGGGAGAGCATAGACTGTTTGGCAGCAGGCGAAAATCGAGGCACCTTTTTCTCAGAGGTGCTGGTAGCGAGTACTGAAGGACCCTGAGACTCAGGAGCTTCATAGGGCGGAGCTGAAGGAAGCCAAAGCTGTAGACTCCACCCTGAAACTCCGCCCATCAGGGAAGCTGAGAAAATGCAACAATGAAATAGATCACAAATGAAAAAAATGGAGGAAAAGAAGAGACTGGATATAGAGTTCAAATCTACGCTTATAAGGTTTTTCAAGAATTTTCTAGAAAAGGTCGATAAGACCTATGAGGATTTGAAAAGGGATCAACTAGAATTAATAAGGAATCAATAAGAAATGATAAGGGATCAACAAGAAATAAAGAATACATTGTCTGAAATAAAATATTATACAGAGTCCTAAAAACAGAATGGAAGATCCCAAGAATCAAGCCAAAGATTTGGAACATAAAGAGCCAGAAGACACTCCTCCGCAGAAGCAAGAAGACAAGAGAATCCAGAAAATTGAAGATAATGTAATAAACCTCTGGGACAACTTCAAGTGAACCAACATCAGAATTATGGGGGTCCCAGAAGATAAGAGAGAGCAAGATATCGAAAACATACTGAAAGAAATAGTGACAGAAAACTTCCCCCACCAGGAAGCGCACAGAACTCCAAACAAAAGGAATCCAAAGAGGACCACACCAAGACAAATCATAATTAAAATTCCAAGAGCAAAAGACAAAGAGAGAATATTAAAAGCAGCAAGAGCAAAGCAGGTAGTTACCTATAAAGGAGCACCTATACGATTGTCAGCTGATTTCTCAACAGAAACCATGCAGGCCAGATGAGAATGGCAAGAAATATTCAAGGTGATGAATAGTAAGAACCTACAGCCAAAGATAATCTATCCAGCAAAGCTATCACTCAGAATCGAAGGCCAGATAAAGAGCTTCACTAATAAAAAAAAAAAAAGCTAAAGGAGTTCATCACCACCAAACCAGAATTATATAAATTCCTGAAGGAGGTTCTTTCGGAAGAGAAAGTAAATAAAGATAAAAATTATGAACAACAAATATGTAACTATCAACAAGTAAATCTAAAAACCAAGGAAATTAAAAAAAAATCTGATGAACAATATTAACTGTTGAATATAATAGAATCAGAGGTATGGAAGGGGAGTGAAATGACGATTCTTGGGGAAAAGGGGAGAGGGGGATGTGGGAAGAAACTGAACATAAACTGTGCACCTATAGATGAGGACAATGGGGGGTGGGGAAAGGGCAGAGGGTGGGATGGGAACCTGGAGGAGGAGAGCAATGGAGTGGGGGAGGGGGAAAGGAACATTTGTAATAATATGAACAATAAAAATTTATTTAAAAAAATAAAAATAAATAAAAATAAAGTGACATCTTGAGGAGAAAAATAGTCATACTGTCAAGCTGTAGCTCATAGTTTGCAAAGCCTTTTCCAGGCAGGATCTCATCGCGCCTCCAGTTTTAGGCAGAGCCAAAGCCACTCCCCTGCAGATGAGGAAAAGCTGCGCCCACAGTGGCCATGGTTTCCTGCTGTGAGCCACTAGCCACGCACCCCCACAGGCCTCGCTTTCACAAAGCAAGAACCCCTTACTCCTCAGCATCTCCGACTGCCCCTTGCCTGGAGCCTGCCGGAAGTTGTAGTCCAATGTCCCGCAGCTTCCATGGATTGGACTACAATGACCAGCATGCCCCGCGCTTCTTGCCCCGCCCCCTTTTTCAGCCTCAGGCGCCGGAGAGGTTCGGTTGACCTGCTGACTGGGAACCAGAAATGGCAGCCACTCTGGGCAGCGGGGAGCGCTGGACGGAAGGTACACTGTCTTAGGGCGGGACAGGGCAGGGTTCGGCAGAGATCAGGGACGGGGACCTTGAAGGTGCCCGAGGGCTGTGATTTGGGGCCTGAGGTGAAGAATGGAGGCCTATAGGGTTCCGGGTAAGGTGGTGGACCGCCCAGGATAGGATGCAGAAACCAAGAGCGCTGGCGCAGGCTGAGGAACCGACCCGCAGCCGGAGTCATCCGTGAGGACTGTTTGCCCCCAGCCCCGCCCCGTCCCGCCAGGTCCCGCCCCGGCCCCGCGGCGGTCAGACGGCCTGCAGCTGGGTGTCCGGCGGCCCGCAGGCTTTGAGGTCTCCCGCAGCTTTCTTTCCCGGCCCTCATCCTCGCTACCAAACTGGGCTGCTGGATCCTTGGGTTCAGTTTGCTCTTGTCTCTGCAGCCCGCATCAAGGCCGACAGGCCGGCTTTTTCTATCCCACAGTCAAGCAAAGAGTATTGATCCATTACCTATTTTGAATCCTGCATTATGCTTGCTGATCCCGCAGCAGGTACTTGACAGGCATGGGCCCCTGAGATCTCAGAACTCTTAGTTCACTAAGGGAGTATGACAGGTACACAGCCAATTACAAAGCAGGGCCAGTAAGTCCTGGTATCCACAGTCCTGGGAAGCACACTGACAAGGAACCAAACATGGCCTGGTGTCCGAGGGGGCCTTATGGAGAAAGTGATGATGACATCCCGAGTGGTTGGAGTTAGTCAGGCTGACCTAGTGGAAGAAAGTTGTAGGCAGAAGGAACAGAGAAGAGAGAAAGCACTGCTGATCTGAAAGGAGTTTGGTGTGGCTAGAACACAGACTGGCAACGAGCATGTGGTGAGAGATGAGGCTAGAGAGACACCTGAGCCCAGGATAAGAAAGTTGGGCAAGGAGCAGTGCATAGTCACGAGGGGATGCTAAGCAGGAGAAGGATGTTTTTAAAACCTTCCCCATATCCTCCAGATGGAACTTGACTACTTGCCTTCTTTGACTGGATTACTCTGGTTCTCTTTACATTCTGCAGGTGTTATGATTAATTGAATTCTCTCCCTTTATAATGTCTTTATGATCAGGAGTAGATCTTACCTGTACATATCCTTGATCTATTTAACCAGTGTCTTAAACATTAATTTAAAATAATTGATTTATCTCTATTTTAAAAGTAAAAACTATTCTTTTATAAGCAATGTCACTTCTGACCATGGACCACAGAGAATTAGGCTTCCCACAGCATTGCACTAAAGGCAGGGTATTGCGCCGGGACCAGTTTGGCTCAGTGGATAGAGCGTCGGCCTGTGGATTGAAGGGTCCCAGGTTTGATTCCAGTCAAGGGCATGTACCTTGGTTGCGGGCACATCCCCGGTGGGGGGTGTGCAAGAGGCAGCTGATCGATGATTCTCTCTCATCGATGTTTCTGGCTCTCTCTCTCTCTCTCTTCCTCTCTGTGAAAAATCAATAAAATATATTTAAAAAAATATATAAATAAATAAAAATAAAGGCAAGGTATTGGGCAGACAACTCTTGAGCACCTTTTCTGGTTCTGAGTCAAAATTATTTGCTGACTGACCACTGTAGTTATGGTGGACATTATTATGCTCTATGTTTCTGTTACTATAACTTTTTCATGGTTGCCTCTATATTTTCTGTATTGTTTTCTCAAGGAAAATGTTTGTTTTTATATGGATGCTTAAAAGTCAGCACGATGTCAGTAGCCTGGCCCTCATCTGCTCATACCTACAAACAGCCTCCTGGGTGACTAAGGCAGGTAGAAAGTTGATTTGAAGGTCAGACTGAGACCTCATGGAGGGCTGTTGCTTTGCAGCTTACATTGATGCAGTTAGAAGAAACAAGTACCCAGCAGACAGACCGGAAAGTCATGATCCCTGTGGTTGCTGTAACTGCATGAAGGCGGAAAAGGAAAAGAAGTCCGAGAACGAGTGGAATCAGACCTGGCAGAGTGAGGGGAGTGCCACTTATACTAAGGAGCAGCTGCTTGGGGTACAAAGGTGAGCCTGTGATGGGATTAATTGAGTGATTTTATGTAGAACATTCGTGCACTAGGGATGTGGGTGTCCCTCAGCCCAGCCTGCATCCTCTCCAATCTGAGACCCCTGGGGGGATGCTCCCCTGTCAGCCCGATTGCCCCCAACTGCCCTCCCCTGCTGGCCTGGTAACCCCCAACTGCCCTGATTACCCACAACTACCCTCCCCTGCCGGCCATCTTGTGGCAGCCATCTTTGACCACATGGGAGTGGCCATCTTTGTTTGAGGGTGTGAGGGTCAATTTGCATAATATCTTTATTACATAGAATGCCTGGCACAATGTGCTATGCTATTAGTATTGACTGCTATTGTTATTATTTATTATTATTACTAGAGGCCCGATGCATGAAATTCGTGCTAGAGTAAGCCTTCCTTCCCTTCACTGCTGGCACTGGCTTCCCTGGCACCCGGGACCTGGGCTTCCCTTGCAGCCTCGGCTTTGTCCAGAAGGATGTCCGGTCTAATTAGCATATTATGCTTTTATTATTATAGATTATTATTATTATTGAAGCATAATAGCTTCTTGGCCTCAGGGACAGAACTAGGTAGAAATGGAGTGTAATCTGAGGTATCTTTCCTGCTTCTATAAGAGAGGCAGGAAAAATCAACTAGATATAACAGATATCTATACAACATTCTACCCCAAAACAGCAAAATACACATTCTTCCCAAATTTATTTAGGATATTCTCCAGGATAGATAATATGTTGTCATAAAACAAGCCTCAGTAAATTTAAAATTATTAAAATCATACAGTGGCCTGCTTGGCCAGTGTGGCTCAGAGATTGAGTTTCAACCTATAAACCAGGAGGTTACAGTTCGATTCATGGTCAGGGCACATGCCTAGATTACAGGCTCGATCCCCAGTAGGGGGCCTGGAAAAGACAGCCGATTGATGATTCTCTCTAATCATTGATGTTTCTATCTCTCTTTGAAATATATATTAAAAATTTTTTAAAAAAATAAAAACTGCCGAAACCAGTTTGGCTCAATGGATAGAGCGTCGGCTTGGGGACTGAAGGGTCCCAGGTTCGATTCCAGTCAAGGGCATGTACCTTGGTTGTGGGCACATCCCCAGAAGGGAGTGTGTAGGAGGCAGCTGATCGATTTTTCTCTCTCATTGATGTTTCTAACTCTTATTTCTGTAAAAAATCAATAAAATATATATTTTTAAAAAGACAGCCATAAGAAAAAGAGAGGGAGAGAGAAATGCATAAAAATTAGGGTGGTTAGGTGTTTCTTCTAGCATTTCTCTTGTGGCTCAACTCTCAGGACCCTAGCCTGCACCTTGATATAAGATTTAGCACAGTTGTTCTATTCACTTGCAGGAATATAGAAAGAATAAAATGTTATATGTAAAAATACTATGAAAGGCACTGAGTTCTCAGTGGGAGGACATTGTTAATGACTTTGAATGTTTCATTAATGTGTTCAGCAATTTTCTTTTAAATTTGTTTTAGGGCTCACCAGTTGGAGGGAGGATCAGTGTACTATTTTGCAATTACTTGTTTAAAAAAAAAAAAAAGAGGCCTTTGTAGACATATATGTTTCTGATGTGTGTTTTTAGGATCAAGAAATGCAGAAATTACTATGAAATTCTGGGAGTTTCTCGAGATGCCAATGATGAAGAGCTTAAGAAAGCTTACCGAAAACTTGCCCTGAAATTTCACCCTGACAAGAACTGTGCTCCTGGAGCAACAGATGCTTTCAAAGGTCTGGTCCTGAATGAGGGCTTAATTCTGCCCTTCCTGTGATGTTCTCTCATAACAAGTTGTTTTCAGACTTTCCTGTAATTCTTTTACAAAGCCACAGCAGAGTTCTTTCCCCTGCCATACCTCTTAAACAGTGATTATCAGAATAGCTTCCTCCTGTCTTCATTCACTTCACCTTAATTTCTTTTGGAAAAATATTTGGTTTCTTTGTTAAATACTTTTTGGAACTGTATATCCATTGATTACACAAATATTTATTGAATATCTATGTACCAGATGTCATGGTGAATAAAACAAACATGATTCCTCTCGTGGAACTTATAGGCTGGTGGCCGGTTGCTAGTAGGGCCTAGACAGCATTCCTAAACTTCTCTGGCCATGGAGCTCTTTGTTCATGAAACCTGTTGTTAACATGTTCATATGAAAAATCTGTGTAAACTTTTTCCCATTGATTTCCGTGATACTTTAAGAAAAATTCTTAAAAATATTTTGACCCAATACATAAATAAAAATCTTACTTCACCACCAGTGAAGTCATTGACTCAGGCAAGGATTACCAATGGAAGTTAAAACCAATGGATGATAGGTAGTTGTTGAATAGGATATTCATATGATGTCAAAGTATCACCCCACAGAATATTGATTACAAAAGGGGGAAATTACTTTACAATGGAGATATCTAACTGTCACCACTTTAACCAAATGATCCAAAATATTATTAGTACTGAAACAACCTAACATTATGTAGTATAGCACCTATGTGTTTTTCTTGCCAAAATGTTTGACCTGAATTTAATATTGAGAAAACAATCAAAATATGAGACATTCTACAAAGAACACTGAGCTACTCTTCAAAAAGCTCAATATAATGAAAAGCAAGTAATTTGGAGAGACTGTTCTGGATTAAAATAAAGAGATGTAAAACCAAATGCAGTACATAAACCTTGCATGGATTTATTGGGTAATAATGTTACTTTCTTAGCTGTGATAATGGTATTGTGATCATGTAGGAGAAGGTCTTTCTTTTTAGGAGACGTATGTTGAAATATTTAGGGGTGAAGTGTTATAATGTGGCCTACTTCCCAGGGCTCAGCAAAAGAAATGTATATGTAAAATGTATGTACATATAGAGAGTTAAGGAAAGCAATGTGGCAAAATTGATTAATTTAGGTTAAGGGTATACAGGTGTTTATTGTACTCTTTTTCAACTTGTTTATAGATTTGAAATTTTTCAAAAGAAAAATTAAAAAATTATAGATCAGAGAAATTTAAGTCACCATTTACCTCAGACTATGTGCCATTGTGAATCTAGTTCTCCCCACAATTTCTACAAGGAAACAAATAGGTAACCAACCTTCTCTTTACACCTTCATGTAAGGTACCTCACAGACTAATGCTATTTCTTTGATTAATCTGCCATATTTCAAGAAATGTTAATGTTTAAGCAACTTTATTTAGTTTTTTGTGTTTTTTTTCTATTTAGCTGTTTTATTGCTGTAAATTTTTAATAATTACGTAGGTAAAAGAATCATAAAGAAATGCTCTTTCTGACTGTGTTTTGATAGAGTTAACCAACTCAAGAGGTAGGTAGGGGGCAGGGAGGCTTTAAAAGATTTTTCTGCTCTAACCAGTTTGGCTCAGTGAATAGAGCGTCAGCTTGTGGACCAAAGGGTCCCAGGTTTGACTCTGGTCAGGGACACGTACCTTGGTCGCTGACTTCTCCCCAGCCTGGGCCCTGGTGGGGCTCATGCAGGAGGCAACCAGTTGATGTGTCTCTTACATTGATGTTTCTCTGTCTTTCCTTCTCTCTTCTAAAAATCAATGGAAAGCCGAAACTGGTTTGGCTCAATGGATAGAGCGTCGGCCTGCGGACTCAAAGGTCCCAGGTTCGATTCCGGTTGAGGGCATGTACCTGGGTTGTGGGCGCATCCCCAGTGGGGGTGTGCAGGAGGCAGCTGATCAATATTACTCTCACATCGATGTTTCTAGCTTTCTATCTCTCTCCCTTCCTCTCTGTGGAAAATCAATAAAATATATTTTAAAAAAAATAATAATAATAAAAATCAATGGAAAAATATCCTCTGGTGAGAATTAACAAAAACAAACAAACAAATAAGACTTTTCTGGGGGCATTCTTTAATTAGAGATATGGATTATTTATTTAAATGAAATTGGACAAATAGGGAGGAGAGGTGATGATAAGCATATGTAATTTATTCAGTCTTTGATCTCTCATTAATTTCTAAAGACCATTTGTAAAGGAAGCTGAATAAGATTATAATGAGTAAGGATTTTGCTTTTAGCCAAACAGTAATTTTACTGATTATTTCATTCAATCTCCCAGGAGATTGTTTCTGTATTTAAAGTAGAACACCACTACTTATGTATGAACTACCTGTAATAATAAAAGCATAATATGCTAATTAGACCAGACAACTGAACAACCTTCTGGATGTCATTCCAGATAAAAGCCCTGATGACAGAGGCCGAAGCAGAGGCAATAAGAGGCAATCAGGCAGGCATAGAGAGTGGTTAGGGGCTATCAGGCAGGCAGGAGAGTGGTTAGGGACAATCAGGCGGGCAGTAGAATGGTTAGGCATGATTAGGCAAGCAGGAGAACGGTTAGGGGCAATCATGCAGGCAGGAAAGTGGTTAGGGGCAATCAGGCAGGCAGGCGAGTTGTTAGGAGTCAGCAGTTCTGGATTGCGAGAGGGATGTCCTACTGCCAGTTTAGGCCTGATCCCCCAGGGTAGGGGGACATCCCCCCAGGGGTCCTGGATTGCAAGAGGGTGCAGGCTGGGCTGAGGGACCATCCCCCCTCTTCTATGCACAAATTTCATGCACTGGGCCTCTCAAATGAAATAAGAGCTATAGCTATAGCTCTCAAATGAAATAAGAACATTTTTTATGAATGAAAGCAATAGTTCTTAGTTCATCTTGAGTGCAATGTTGTTTCTGGCTTTTCAAACTAGATCATGGACATTTTCAAGGGCAAGCACTTTGGTGAACTTTCTAGGTCAACCACTTCCCTTAGGTCCCTGTGAAGTTTATTCAGCACCAATCAACTCTGGGCTTTTCATTGCAGCTACTGTGATCACCCTCAGCTACAGCAAAGACTATGTACTCAGGAACTCTTTTGTTTTGGTTGCAGCAATAGGAAATGCCTTTGCAGTACTTAGCAATCCGGACAAGAGACTCCGCTATGATGAATATGGAGATGAACAACAGGTGACTTTCACGGCCCCTCGAGCCAGACCTTATCATTATTACAGAGACTTTGAAGCTGACATCACTCCAGAAGAGTTATTCAATGTCTTCTTTGGAGGGCAATTTCCTACAGGTCAGTATCCCAAAATTATCATGAAAAAATTTATGTATCAGCAAGCTCTTGTTTGAAGATCTGAATAGAGGGACATGGTATGATGAAAACAGCAGGAATTTGGAATCAGGTGAACTGGAATTTGAAGCAAGTCTCTAGCCTCCAACTGTGCATGATTTTGACCAAATCACGCAGTCTCTCTTATCCTGTTTCATCACCTGAAAAAAAGGAGTTAGTAATACCTACCTCACAGGGCTGCTGTGAGGATTAGATATTTTTAAATGCTTTATAAATAAGTAACAAAATACCATTTGTTGTTATTATTATTGTTGTTGTTGCAAAATAGCAGCTATATAAAGATAAAAGTTAGAAAAGCACCGCCAGAGAGTTGAAAATTGGGATAATTAAGTGCCCAGGAAGTAAGATGAATTTTATGAGTTGCTATTAAAGATTCTGATACTGGGCAAAGAAGCAGACAAGACTCATGGCCCAGATGCTCTTTCTTTACTCACCTTTTGGAGTTCCTCACTCACTGGTTATACAGGGCTATTTAAATAAAGGCAGGAGAGCTAAGCGCATTCCATCTCCAGCTGGTTCACCTGGCTCACCTACTGTCCTATTTTTCTGCTGGGTAAAATGGGACAATATTCTAACCACAGAGAACCTAATTGGAGGAAGGACCTTGGAAAGGCGGAAGAAGTGTTTGCCATATCCCATACTAAGGGTTTTTCTTTCTTTTCCAGGAAACATTCATATGTTTTCAAACGTGACAGATGATACCCACTATTACCGCCGGCGCCACCGACATGAGAAGATACAGACACGGAAGGAGGAGGAAGAAGATAAACCTCAGGTACGTCGGGAGGACAGAACTGCTGCTCATAACACTTGTACTAAGTGGCCTTTATGGTATCTGATCATGTGTTAGAAATTTAACTTGAAAATATGTTACTGAAATGTGCTTCAGAAAAGCAGAGGCAATGGTAAGAAGAGCTGGGTAACTGACTCAAATAGGCCAGAATAGTAACTCTCTTACCTACCCATTCTTTGGTGGCTGTCCCAGGAAACTATTTCCCTTTTGGGATGCTTCAATGGAGGTTTTCCTGAATGCAGAAAATGCAAATTACCAATTTGAGGTAAGAGATCTAGGAGGTCTCATGAAGCTCAAGGGCAGAAAGTGCAGCTGTGTCTCATGATAGATAGAAACCAGGTCCTGAGGTGCTGTCAGGCACCCACACAACTGTGCTCTCCATGACTATTATAGTTGGGGCCATATTATTTCCAGTTTTCCCACCTATTTTCACTTGTTTTGTTCTCTGTAATCAGCCTGGTTTATCATAATTCCCTTTGCAAATGGCCAATCCCCAGTGCCTAAGGTGACTATCTAGCAGTCACTGGTGATAGATCTCAATCTCAAATTCCTGTAGGTGGGGAATGTGATTATCCTTGCTAGGTTAGATGTCCCCCAATCTGTTCAGCTGTGACTGATAACGAGATTATATAATACTAACATGACCCCAGAGAGTAACAGTCTGGGCAGACTCACCCAGAGTGTCTGCTTCATTTGTCTTAGAAAGGGGAATGCAGGAGAATTACTGGGTGTCAATCAGGTTGTAGGTGGGCCTCCTTCAAATCTCTCAGCAGAAAGAACAGAGTTGTTTGGTACTTCTCTGCAAAGAATAGCCTTCCCAAAAAAGCCTTGCACTAGTAATTTGTATTTTCTTCTTTCTTTTATATATATATATTTTTTATTGATATTTTACAGAGAGGAAGGGAGAGGGATAGAGAGCTAGAAACATCGATGAGAGAGAAACATCGACCAGCACCTCCTGTACATGCCCCACCAGGGATGTGCCCGCAACCAATGTACATGCCCTTGACCGGAATCGAACCTGGGACCTCTCAGTCCACAGGCTGAAGCTCTATCCACTGAGCCAAACCGGTTTCGGCTAAGTTGCATTTTCTTTGGGAAAAGAATCTTATTTTCTATAAGCTTTATATTGATGAAGAACACTTACACCAAATATATTTTCTTTTTCAGAATACGTATTCTGCATTTATTCAGTTACTTCCAGTTCTTGTGATTGTGATTATATCTGTAATTACTCAGCTGCTAGCTACTAATCCACCATACAGTCTATTCTACAAATCGTAAGTCAAATATTTATGAATCTTAACAACAATCTGAATGGTAAAAGATTTGAAAGTTTTTCCTATACATTACTAACATTTCATTTCACCTTTTGTTATAAAAGCACAGATTTTGTAACTTAAAGGAACAGTTGGATAGGAATAGTGCAAAGATTATCAAAAATACTGTAGGCAGTTTCCAGTGTGCTCAGGATATGGATTGTTTTGTTGTACAGCGACATCATCTGGTCAGTTGCAAGACAGCAACAACTGGCTTCTGAAGGATTAATAAAATAACTCCAAGTTCAGATTAAATCCTTATTACACCATGTTAGAAAGGGCCTACTGAGCTTGTGATAGGATTGCTGGACTCCCCCGCCCGCTCCCTCCTGGGTCTGGGAACACAGTAACTGAGATCCAGTGATTTTAAATTTAAGAAATTACAAACATAGAATATTTATTCATAATAAGGCTACATAGAAAACCATAGGATCACATTCTTTTGCTGAAAATATAGAAAATCATTGTAATTTTGTATTGCATGCAGATTATGAGCTCTCATAGGAATATTTTAATTTCTTCCATTAATTATTTCAATTAATTCATTTTTCAAAGTTAGTCCCCAGAGCATAATCAGCATCAACTGGCAACATGTTAGAAATGCATACTCTTGCCCTAGCTGGTTTGGCTCAGTGGATAGAGCATCGGCTTGCAAACTGAAAGGTCCCAGACTCGATTCCGGTCAAGGGCACATGCCCATGTTGTGGGCTCGATCCCAAGTGGGGGTCTTGCAGGAGGCAGCCGATCCATGATTCTCTCTCATCATGGATGTTTCTCTCTCTCTTTCTTCTTTCCTGTCTGAAATCAATAAAAATATATTTTTAAAAAACACACAAATATATTAGAAATGCATACTCTTAGGTTTTACTCCTTATCTATGGAATCAGAATCTCTGAGGATGAGAACCTCAGTGTCGTTTCTTTTAATCCTCAAGGATATTTGGGTATTTTTTCTATTGATTTCTAGAGAGTAGAAAGGAGTAAAGGGGGAGGGGGGGTGGTGCGAGGAGGGGAGAAGAGAGGGAGAGAGAGAAACACCAATGTGAGAAAGACACATAGATTAGTTGCCTCCCGCACGAGCCCCTACTGGGGCTGGGGAATCTGCAACTGAAGTACATGCCCTTGATCAGAAATCAAACTTGCAACCTTTCAGTCCACATCCTGATATTCTAACCACTAAGCAAAACTGGCCAGAGCAGTAATATAAGTTTCAATGAGCCTTCCAGATTATCCCGGTCCAAATGAAGGTTCAAGAATCATTATTTTTAAAAATTAATCATGATAAATTAGTCATTGTTTATTATTATAGTTTAGCAGACAAAAACCTTACAAAATGCAGTCGGTGAGGCAATACATAATAGGAAGAATCTTTTTTTTAAGACTTTTTTTTTTGTCTTCACCCAATGATATGTTTTTTTATTGATTTGAGAGAGAGGGAGAGAAACATCAATATGAGAGAGAAAAATTGATCGGTTGCACACCCTGACCCAGGATCAAATCCGAAACCTAGGTATTTGCCTGACCAGAAATCTAACCGGTAACCTTGTGGTGTATGGGGCGACACTCCAACCAAGTGAGCTGCCCAGCCAGGGCAATAGGAACAGCCTTTGTTGATGATCACTATAGACTGAAAACTCATTTTAAGTCAATATCTTCATTTATAAAGAAGAAATCTGAGACTCAGAGATAGGTCATTACTATTAGTTTACATTGGCCTGTTTCCCTCCATTTCCTGACTTCCCAAGTTTTTCCATATGCTACTGCTACCTCCTTTCTTGTCAGGTAGTGGGGGCAGTCAGAAACCTGCTAACAGCTTCCCAAAGGGAGGTGAGAGCAGTCATGGCCTGAGCTCTGAGACATTCGGCAAGATCCTTAAGTAGAGAGAGCAGAGGAGAAGGCTGGAAAAAGGTCAACTATAACTCGTTTGAGATAGAATTTGTCCAGTTTGAGTAAAATCAATTTGCATGTTGCACATTGCTGTCACATTGTTTTCACTGGAATTTGAGTTCCCTTCTAAACTACTCTATGGTTAGAATTTAGTTAACCCAGACCTGCCAGTGTTTCTCACCGGATATACCGTTGGATATCTTAGACCACAGAGAGTTTACCCAGAAGCATCATTAAAATTTTTTTCTTAATTTTTTGCAATTCTCACTGAGCAGCTATGTTTGTAGGTTTTATTTTGTCCTAAAGATTGATGCTAGGTGTAAGCTATCTGGCTATTTATAAACAGTGTATTGTAACAATCAGTTTATTCGACAAACAGTTACCAATAGCCTACTCTGCCAGGTACCATGCTAATCCTACACAATATCCAAATTGTTTTTTAAGCATTAGTATTCTACTTTTAGCATAGAAAGCAATATAAGAGGGATAAGTAACTATGCTGAAGTGAATCCACAGTATGAACATGTTCATAGAATAGCAATAATGACAACATTACAATTACTTCTTTGCTAGGGAAGTTACAAATGTTAGGTGCATTAGACAATGACATCCACATCTGCCCTATGAAGAGATAATTGTGACCCTGAGATCTGTGAGGCCGGTGCTGAGTAATATGCCAAACATAACAAGCTTACCTGAGCCTCTCTCTCCATGTTTCAGGTCCATGGGCTACACCATTTCTAGAGAAACCCAGAACCTGCAGGTGCCTTACTTTGTGGATAAAAACTTTGATAAGGTCTACAGGGGAGCATCTCTGCGGGAGTTGGAGAAGACGATAGAGAAGGATTACATTGATTACATCCAGACGAGCTGCTGGAAGGAAAAACAACAAAGTAAGAGACTCTAAAAGGAGCTTTAGCTGGTGGCCATGCTTCCAAAAGGCATCCCCTCCTCTCCTTGTTTGGGTCGCACATACTTCTATGAACAGAGGACAGGGGCCCATTCAGGATACTCTAAAAAAGGGAAGTTTATTGACAGGACAACATGTAGCCAGGACTTGGAAATCTTAGTTGCTTTTTTGTCTTTCTGTCTCCGAGTCTCTACTTCTCTCTGCCCATCTGCCCCACTCTCCTCTCTACCAACTTCCCTCTTTTGCTTCCTCAAGCTCTCCTCCTTCATAACCTTATCTTGCAACTTCTCTAGCCACCCCAGTTATTGGCTCCTCTCTACATCACAATCTTCTTCTGGAGGTTCTCTTGACTACCTGGTTTGGTCCAATTTCCTAATTCCCCATTCCCTATAGGGAAATCTGTCTGATTCAGCCTAACATTATTTTTCTTTTTAAAGAATAGTTTATTGATTTTTCAAGAGAGAGGAAGGAAGAGGGAGAGAGAGGGGGGAAAAAAAATCTATGTGAGAATGCAACATCCATCGGCTGTCTCCTGCATGCCCCAGAGATAGAGCCCAAACCCAGGCATGCGCCCTTGAATCTGAAACCCCCTGGCGCCTGGGACAATGCCCAACAACTTCGGCCAGGTCCAGCCTACTTTTTGAGCCAAACCAAAGGTTTGCAGGCTGTTGGCATTGAGTCCCCTCCCTTCCCCTCTTGTCGGCTTAGGCTACACAGAACAAAAGGGACCCTCCCTGGGTCTGCCCCATCAGTATGGGTGAGTCTGAGAAGGCCTTCTCTCCGTTCCCCTCAAGAAGACAGTTTGGGTAACAGTGTCTGCCACTTGGCTTTTTAATTCCAGTGAGTATTAATGGGGAGTGCTGGTAGCTAGAGTAGCTCTGTCTCTCAGCCAAGTTCACTTTTCATCCCAGTTGAATGCTACATACACACAAATTCACACACACATGCACAAGTACCATTAATAACTATTATACCATTAATAACTATTTATTATAAAACTTGGCTTTGGTTAATTTTTTAAAAATAAGCTCTAACTCATTTTTAAAAACGTGTACTGGGTATTATTAAACATCTAAAAGTGTCTGATAAAATTAGCTCTTCAGTCACAGTGCTGCTAAGCCCTTGCTGACCCATCATGCATCCCAGCCCCACCCCCATGTTAATCTCTCCTTCCTGTGTGTTCTTAAAGCACTTTGCTCAGCCTGTCAACAGAGTACTGCTCTCATGGTGTTAGTGTCCCGTAGGTACATGTCTCCATGCTGGACTGTGGGCTCTCTGAGGACAAGAACCATGTCTTATTAATTTTGTGTCTCAGGCACCTGGCCCTTGTTTCAGAACAGGTGTTCAGCAAGTGCCTTTTGAAGAGAGAATTCTCAGAACTGGAAAACAATGAAAATGCTGAGGCTTAGGAATCACAGAACAGGGTTAGTGTCCTAACCCTAGTCCTTAGGGACCTTGCCTCTGCCCCCCACATGCAGCTGAACTCTCAGGTGCATTCGGAGCATGGTAGGCAATGACTCTGGGATGCAAGGGGGAATTAAGCAGGAGGAAGATGTTGTTTTATTGAGAAGTCTGAGGGTTCGGAAAGTAACCTACCTCATGTTAAAATAGGTTTTGCAAGTTTTTAAAAAATCAGAAAAGAAATTGGAGCAAGATAAAGGCCTTTGACTAAAAGGCCATATATTTGTAGATCCAAACCACATAAAGGCCATAGTGTGTGTCCTGAACACTCCCCATGTTTTGGACCCTGGGAGGGTTTGAAACGGGTTGCTTTCTACAAGGACTGGATGCAAATCTGCATTTCACATTGTTCAGACACACACACATACCCCAACGGGAACTATGCAGAGAGCTTATAATAAGGATTGCACCTACTATAAGGTGGCTTCTAGGCTTTTGTCCTCATCCCCATGAGGCCTAGTTTCGGGCTTTTGTGGTCTCCAGATATAAAAAAAAATCCAGTGAGTAAACATGATGCATGTACCCACAAGTTCTAAATGGGGTTATCAGCACACATCCCTTAAAAATCTATTTCTGGTATTTAAGGATGGTGATGGTTGTCCGTAGCCTCCACACAACCCAAGTGCCATTTGAGAACCAGCAGCATCTGCCCTCCGGTTCCAGCAGCAAGTGCAGCCAACAAGGTTAAATTTAGCACTTGGAGATTGTAAAAATAAACCCACTTGAGAACAAAGTTCACTCTTGGCAAAATACTGAGTGGAAACTGTTTTTAGTAAAATTAGCCATTATCTTTTTAAATCTTTTGTTCATGTCTTTGCTCTCCCTGAGAATGCTTAATCTGAATGAACGTCTATGAGTAATCCTTTAATATGAATACAATTGCCCTGTTTTCTCCTTCACAGCTGCATCTAGATAACAAACCTGATGCTATGGGAAGTGGCCATGCCACTGGGCTGGGATGGACAAAAGCAATAGGCAGGAACTGCCTCCTGGCCAGTCTGAACTGATCTGAGATCCTCTCTAGGCCGTGGAGCAGGGTCGCAGAGTGGGTAGAAGCTTAGGCTTTGAAATGGGGACAAATGAACTTCTTCCTAGGGAGGTTCTGTGGATAACAGAAGATGATATGGGCATAACGCTTACCATGGTGGTGGAGCCCTTGCTTGCTAGACTGGATGCAGCACTGTCTCATGGGGCTGGCTCATAAGTGTGGCTGGGATTTATTGGAGACTTCCAACTGTCAAGAGTCTGATCTGAGCTTTTGTGCGGAGTCCTCTTGGGAGACGTTCTGGGACTTGCTTCTGTTGACAATTTGCCTGAGTTCGTTTACCTTGAAGACTCAAGCTCTGTCCATCAATTACACTGGCATTGAGGGCAAGGGAAATACTTTACAAAGAATAAAAGATGTTCTTTTGATACTGTCCCTCCCAAAGATTTTTTTCTTAGAAGTTATTGAATATTAACAGAACTTGTAAAAAGTAACATATTCATTAGTTGACCTTTTGCTTCATCGAAGGGCAAAAGAATTCACTGGCAGTTTAGAGAGAGGTTTCTGTAAGCGTGGTGGTAAGGTGTGGGACATGGTTCCTTGAAACACTGACCTTGTGCAAGGTCATTGCTCTGGAGCAGGGGTCTCAAGCTCTACAACATTGAAACCCAGTTTCATTGAATTTTACAAGAAGTATTGTGGCGTTTTGAGAAAGGCATTCATATATGTACAGTTATCTTTCACCAGCTTGCTACTGTGGTCTTCAGTGTAGAAATAGTAAGAATCGCCGAAACCGGTTTGGCTCAGTGGATAGAGCGTTGGCCTGCAGACTGAAAGGTCCCAGGTTCGATTCCGGTCAAGGGCATGTACCTTAGTTGTGGGCATATCCCTGGTGGAGGGTGTGCAAGAGGCAGCTGATCGATGTTTCTCTCTCATCGATGTTTCTAACTCTCTATCCCTCTCTCTTCATCTCTGTAAAAAAATTAATAAAATATATTTAAAAGAAAAAAGAAAATAGTAAGAATCACTAGCCTTAATGTTTTCTGAATGTGATGTCAGGCAATGAGGCATTTAGATAAGCTTGGTAAGCCAAAAATCTAAGGAAATTAAAAAAAAAATTAAAAAGGATGAGAAGGAAGAAGGAAAAAACACCCTAAGAAAGTCATTTAAAGGAAAAGCAAAGCCACAGAATTTGTTCTGTACACTGATGTAACTGTGATTCCAGAGAACTAAAGGGATAGACTGATTTTATAGAGGCCTCCTAAACAGCTTTCCCACATGCCAAAGGAGCCAGAGAAATGGAGCTAGTGCTGCACGCTGGGCAGGACCTAAGAGCTTTCACTTGGGTGCAGCATATGATCCTCCGTGAAGCCAAGGCAAGCTCTGGCCAGCAGGCCCTGCAGGCACCGCACCAAGGGGAGAGAGCACATTGTTCCGAAGCCTAGGAGGCCGCTCTTTGCCAACAACTGCTGGGCGAGGGCCCAGACCCTCATTGTAGAGGAAGGGTTTTCATGCATAGCCACCCCTCACCCTGGAGTCCTGCACTTAATCCGCACTCTGGGCCTTACTTGGTGTAAATAGAATCATTGTGAGCAGAAATGCCAGACAGTGTTTTGTGTTGATAGAAGCTTATTCAGAAACCAATGCCCATTGTTCCCCCTGTCTAAGTATTAATTCCTGTGTCCAGGCAGCTTGCTGATTAACGACAGGTGCCTCTGATTCCACCAAGAAAAACAAAACCTGTCGGCAGATGATTAAGAATGGATAGCACATCTCCAAATGATTAAAATGGCATTTCCACAAGTATGGTCATTTCAACATTGAATAGCTACCCACTGTTGGAGGTTTTCAGAGGCCACACAGCCCATCCAAGCATGCCATCCTGTTCATACATGTCTCTGGAGGTGCTTTTCAGGCCTTCCCTCCTAATATTACCTCTGAAACTTTACAAAAGAATAAAAAGTAGAGACAGCCAACCACTGTTGAGTTGGGGAAGACAGCAGAGATTATGTTCTGGTTAAAAATAGAATGTCCTTCTCCACCATTAAGAGAAAATGAAATTCCTTTAGTCAAGGAGACAAAAGTCACCAGATCCAGATGATTTGACTTTTAAAAGGGCCCGGCTGCCTCTGGCTTTGAATCAGGGACTCCACATGTGGTGAGGGAATGAAGAAAGCCGCCAGCAACCTGGCCTTCTCTAGCAGGCTTACCCACCAGAAGTAGGTGCCTCAGTTAGTGTGTATGAATTATGATCCAGCAATGCAAGGGAAAGAATGAAGCAGCTGTCTTTGTTTCAGATGACAGGAACAGGCGATTGGACTCCATTCTCTCCCAACTGCCATCTGAATACCATTTGTAGAAGGACCATGAAACAGTCTCCTCTTACTGCACATGTGCAGGCTTCCCAACTCCGCTGCCAAATGTTCTATTGATAAGAACTAAGTCCTGTGCTTTTATAAGGAAGCACAGATACTGTAGCTCTCCAGGACCACAGATGTCCTTTAATCCTTAGCACTTGGTGTAGTATAGCTGCCTGGTACTCTGTTTCTTGAATAAATTCCTGTTTCTTAAATATAATTGAAAGAGACAGTATTAAATAAAGTAAAAGAAGCTTTGATTCCAGAACGTCTTTTGATGAATTGGTTCTCTCTTTTATCTTTCAGAGTCCGAGCTGACCAATTTGGCAGGATTATACAGAGATGAGCGACTGAAAGAGAAAGCAGAGTCGCTGAAACTTGAAAACTGTGAAAAACTTTCCAAACTTATTGGCCTACGCAGAGGTGGCTGAGAGGATGGTAGCTCTGCACAGGGTCTGGGTTTTGCTACTTGTTACTATTTATGTTCCTAATTCCATTTTATAATACAAAATTAGGAAATGATGAACATTTTACAATTTGCTAACTTTATTTGGTGGGCTGAGTTGAAAGCGCTTGAGCATGGAGCCAGACTTTTCGTCACAGAATCCTTCCTGGGGATCGGCTCCAGGTTGCCAGGAGCAGTTCCTCTAAGTTGAATTAATGACAAAGTGTTGGATTCAGCCCTCCTGCTCCACACCTGTCCTGCCTCTAGGAATGTAGTTCAGGGCGTCCCAGAGCAGATTCATGTATTCTTCTTTTTTCTCTTCTTCGCTAACCACGCATTCCTAGGCTTAGCCAAAGCAGCTTAATATTAGTTGTTTACAAAGTGCACCAAGAATTATATCTCTCCCTTCATGAGAGTCCCCCCAGGATTCAGCCTTTGGAACATATTCCTCAGATTTCCACTTTCTAAGGGGAATGTGGTGAAATGTAAACTATTGTAGTCAATAGTTTCCTATTTTCCTAATCCCTATTCAGAATTACTAGCAAAATGCCTGATTTTAGTTTTTTACTTCCTTAATTGTCTCTCTTGCAGAGGGACCAGGAATTAAGAGCTATTGAGTGAAACAGCTCAATGGAAGCAGGGGCCAAGGATGAAGGTAAAATATAACGTCAGTCTCAGCTTCTCACTGAAAGTTCTCTAGTCCATCATAGAACCCAGAGAATGTTCTTTTTGCCATTTCCCCTTGCAGCATCACAGGAACTGAATCCCTACGCCCCCCAGAGGAATTGTGGTCAGACTAAGAGGAAGCACTGCCAGCTAACTGGACTATTTGCTCAAGCCTAGAGAGAGCGGGAGAGACCTTTCCATGGCTCTGGGGATCTGGTGTTGGCTCCAGCAGTTAACTTTGTCTAATCCTACAGTTTGTGATATGAGATGCTTTTTCCTATAGTCAGCATACACTGCGTGCCTGGGATGAAGCAAGGGCCCTCATATCCATTTCCCTACTTTAGCCTCCTCACAGCCCTGTGAAGTGGACATGTTTTTATGAATGAGAATATTGACCCGGAGAGGATGAAAGGTTAACCTGGGTCACATAATTGGTAATGGCAGAGCTAGATGGAGGTCTGATTATCAAGTAGAAAGTGTGAGATCATCCTTATTTCTCAGGTCATTCTAGCCAGATTGATAAAGCTGAATTTTTCCCAAAGATGCCCCTGCCCCCTTTCCTCTGACCCTGTATCCTTTCTGTGGCAGTCCATCATCCATTCAGGACACCTTCCCCCCTGTCTTTAGGAACCAAGGCTCCATGCTAATTTTGTATACAAGACAAAAGGTCCCTCAGAGGCAGGTGACAAGGAAGGAATAAGTTGCTTCCTGGGCCATGTAATTCCAGACTTCCTGCAGAGCCCAGCTATGTGAGCTGCCTAGATTATCAGGAGTCTGAACCTGGAAGGGTCAGTAAGTGACTGTGGTCTACATTCATGTTTTCTTCAGGATGGAAGAAAAATTCCTGTTGGAAGGAGGCTCTGCATGAAAACTGATTTCCAGAGTGGAGTTTCTCCTTTCAGATGCACGGCCATGATTCAGACAGATGTGTCTAGCATGGTTCAACATGTGGACATGCCACAGGGTCAGGAGATGCCTCCAGAGGTAAAGAGTGGGTCGTTAGGGGCTGGTAGAGGACAACTGCTCAGCTGTGGGGAGGAGCAGCTCCAGAGATAATCAGATTCTGCCGCCCAACTATGTCCCTCCTCCTGGATTTGGGGGGCTTTCTTGACTCCCTCTGAGTGACAGAGGGGGTTTACACAGTAAAATGTGCCTATGAGCCAAACAGGCTTGTAGAACAGTTTCCTGTGCACACCAAAATCAACGCTCTCCTCTCAATCCCAACCTCTGGGCCATAAATTAAACTGAACTGTAGATGCCCCTGAAGAATGTGGCCACACATTTGATAGATTTCCTGGCAGACATTAGTTATCTGCGATGATACTAAATAGAGGCAATACTAACTCCAATAAATGTCAGACCTATCGTCTGTCTGTATAGAACTGATGGTACTATTTATTACCTAGTAGACCACAACACTCACACCTGGTTTTCCTCAAGAGAATATTTGCATTTGGTTAAAGGATAGTTTAATCTATTTGGTACAGTCCAGAATATTGTTAAACTAAAATTTCGTGGGTTATATTTTAGATGGGTTGTCTACATGGTGGTAATATGATTTTCCTCTGACCGACATCCTTTGGAAGGTTTCCTAGTCATAGATAAGCTCTTTAGGTAAGGCTCATTCTTGCTGTCAGAACTTGGTGTGCAGCGCTATGCTGTGTCTATGAGCATTAGAACAGCTTGGAGATGTGTAATGGGAGAAGGGCTAAGAAATAAGGCTTGAGGCTCAAGCAAAAATGGAAACTCATCATTAGGATGATAGTGCTCTTGGCGCCGCATGATCAGCAGTGAAGAGAGGAGCGGAAAAGTCCTCACCACAGAGGACACTACAGCTTGAAGGAATCAATGACCCCTGATGAGCAACCCTGGGGTTCATCTGCTCAAACCAGAAAATGTCTGAACTTCCTTATCAGCTCCAGGCCTCACAGGTTGGAAGAAGTGACCAGTAAAAAATGCAATTGCTTTGCTTTCTGTTGGAAACTATTAAAAATTACACTGAACTCCAAACCCAACTGAAACATGAGATCCAACAGCCTGGCCAAGCTATATGTTATTCTCATTTCATCCTCACACTCAGGACACGCTTTGTGAGGAGGCACTTTTGGGATTCTAGAAGTTTTCTGTTACAACTAGCCACACATGCAAGTAGTCTCTGCATGCATGATCCTCACAGGAGCTAGCAGTTAATCAGTATTTATTTTGAATTCATTTAAGGTGTAAGCTTATTATTCTAATACACTTGTTTTTGGAAAGGGCCAAGTTATTGTACATCTTATTTTTTGAGCCTGCATTGTTGATACCTCATGCAATGACCATCAAGTAACCACATACCCATGTGTTAGATATTAATTACATAATTTGCATTCCATTCAGTATTTGGAATTAAAGATGTGAATGTTCTGTGACCAGAGCCAGGTTTGATACAGATGGAATCAGCTCCGATGGAGTCCTGAGAAATCTGGTCGCCTGATCTGCTGCATCTGAATTAATTGTATTTTAACAAAGAAAGAAATTAAAAGATTTTATATATAAAAAGAGACTTTGTTTTTCCTTTCTTGTTTTTAAATACATTTTTTATTAATTTCAGTTAGAAAGGGAAAGGAGGAGATAGAAACATCAATGATGAGAGAGAATCATTGATCGGCTGTCTCCTGTATGCCACTGAGGATGGAGCTGGCAACCCGGACATGTGCCCTGACTGGGAATTGAACCATGACCTCCTGGTTTATAGGTTGATGCTCAACCACTGAGCAGCACCGGCTGGGCCTCCTATCCTTTTACCTTTGCCCAAGGCACCCTTCAGCACTGCATATTGCCTAACTCCTTGAAGCCACTGGAGACTAGAGCAGTTGACCTTTTCCCTAGTCTTTCCTCATCCATCGGTGGAATTATTGGTGTTTAGAATAATAGCTTTGGTGGCATCACCCGTTCTGCATTTTCTGCAGCATATTACAGCCAATGTACAGATCAAAACTATTTAGCATCTGCAAATCGGCTGTTATTCCAGTTCTTTGCTGGCTTTGTCCCTACTGGCCTATATTTAGGAAAGTTTTTGCTTAAAAATATAGTACATATTTCAGTTGGTTTCTCCAGAGTTGAACTACTCATAATAATGCCTATCATTTGGAGAAAGATTGAGATGAGATGCAATTCAACAAAATGGAGAAGTTAGCGTATGCCAGGTGAGCTGAGCTTTTGGGATGGGAGTCGGGAACAGTGAGACCCAGCACCACGGCTCCTGGAGCTCGCATCGAATGTGGAACCTAACTTTAGACAATGCTCCCCAGTGGGATGATTGTCAAAGGGGGGACCAAGAGAACTTTGGGAATACATAAATGGATTTAATCCAGTATAAGGGATCAGTGAAAGCAACTCTGAGGAAGAGAAGCTTGAAACATAGTCACCCTTCTTACAGAGTACAGTGATTTTTTTTTTAATGGAAGAAATGGGAGCAACATTGTGAGTGTCCCATTTCTATGAATAGCATCATCATCCATGAAAGTACGAAAGTCAGAAACCCAGAAAACTGTGGTATACTTGACTTGATGCCCCCCAATGGACCACACCTAATATTCATGCCCTACTGTTTGTAGTCCCCTTTCTGATCCAGGCCAGCCTTTGATCTTTAATCCATAGAATGTGGCAAAACTAGCAGCTTCCATTTCGCCATTTAGGGGAAGCCAGCTGCCTGGTAAGTTCAACCTCCCTGAGATCACCAAGCTAACCACATGAAGCAGGTATGCAGAGGAGAACCAAACGAGAATCGAGACCTGTTTAACTTAATCCAGCTGGTGGGCAGAGCAAAACTTAGCTGCCTCACCAAGCCCTCTTCAAACTGTAGAATCATGAGCAAATAATAAAATAGTTACTGTTTTAAGCCTTTAATTATGTTTTGTGGTAGTTTGCAGCAGTAAACAACCAAAACACCTTGGCTCCCTCTTCCCTCTATCTATCATTATTAAGTCCTGTCAGTTTTAACTCCAGAACATCCTAAATCCATCTCCTCTCTTATCTCCTCTGACACCATCTGACTTCCCAACTACCATCCATTTCCTCTGATTAAAAATTTGCAGTAGCTGAAACTGGTTTGGCTCAGTGGACAGAGCATCGGTCTGCAGACTGAAGGGTCCCAGGTTCAATTCCGGTCTAGGGCATGTACATTGGTTGTGGGCATATCCCCGGTAGGGGGTGTGCTGGAGGCAGCTGATCGATGTTTCTCATCTTATGTTTCTGGCTCTCTATCCCTCTCCCTTCCTCTCTGTAAGAAAATCAATAAAATATATTTTTTAAAAACAAAACTTGCAGTAGCCTCACAAGTATAAGTGTCTCTGTGCATCAACTCAGGGCCCCTCCAATCTGCACCTTGCTGCAAACCAGGGAGACCATATACATAATTGATTTCAGAGAGAAAGGAAGAGGGAGAGAGAGATAGAAACATCAATGATGAGAGAGAATCATTGATTGGCTGCCTCTTTCATGTCCTTACTGGGGGTCAAGCCTGCAACCCGGGCATGTGCCCTTGATCAGAATAGAACCTGGGACCCTTCACTCTGCAGGCTGATGCTCTATCCACTGAGCCAAACTGGCTAGGGCAAGGAAGATCTTTTCTAAGCATAAATTATGTCACCTTCTTGCTTAAAATATTTCAGTTTTCTTTTGCCCCCAAAATTATTATTTTTATTCTGGGGGCAAAAGTCCTTAGCATGACCTAATGCTTAATAAGACTCTACCAAGTTTCTGGCCTCCACCCCTGCTTGTCCTAAATATCTTTTTCTGCCATACTAGCCTTTTCCTTAGACCACTCCGCCAACCCCTTTGGGTCTAGGAACTTTGTGTATACTGTTCCCTCTTTCTGGAACCTTTCCCACTCACCTGGCCCTCCTCTCTTTGTTAAGTGCCACCTGGTTATCTTACTAGGTTTCAGCTCAAAAATCACTTCCTCACAGAAGCTTTCCCCATATCCCAGATTGGGCTAATATTTTAAAATACTCTCATTCCTCTTTCTTAGCACCTGTCATAACTCTGGTGCTATTTATTTAAACAATTACTTACTTTGAGATTTGAGTGTTTATTATTGTCTGTCTCCCCCACTAGACTGTTTCAGTCTAATTTTATCTGAGCTGAACCCTGACCAGAATGACACACCATCTGTTAGGGCTGCCTCTGACAGTGCAGCCCAAATGAAAACTCCTCCCATCAAAAGGTGGATGTGTCCCTTCTCCTTGAAGCTGGACTCTGTGGCTTATTTACCAATAGAAAACAACAGAAAGGCCACGATGCCTCTTTTTGGGGGCCCAGGCCTTAAGAAAGTGGTATCTTCCATTTCCCGCCACTTGGGATACTTCCTCTGGAACCCAGTCTACATGCTAGGAGAAAGCCCACGCAGCCAATGGAGAGGAACAAGACGCGCAGCCTCCAATGAGCTCCCAACGGATAGCACCAATGTGCCAATTATGTGAGGGAGCCATGAATCATGGGGGTGGGACTTCTAGCCTCCCTCTCTCTCCCAACAGCTGATACTACATGGAGCAGAGATGAGCTTTCACTATTGAACTCTGCCCAAACTGATGATTCCTGAGCAAAATAAAATTTTTAAGGTATAAATAAACGTAGGGTGGTGTGTTACATAGCAATAGATAACCAGAAAATCAACCAGGATGACAACACTATGCAGAAAGCTGCCCTTCCTGGGGCAGGATCACAGAGCTGTTTGTGGTGTCATGTCATCCTGAGCCCCACTGAGCCCTGGTTGGCCAGGAGCTCATAGTGTTTGTTGATATAGAGAGTGGGAGTCTCTGGCAGTCCCCAACCAGCCTATGCTGGTATGCAGGGTGCAGACCTGCATCCAGTGTTCTCTCTCGCTCAGGGAACTGGCTGCAGGAGCCTATTGTGCTCCAGGATTTTGGCCTAAGTATACAAAGCAATCTGTCCCAGCTGGTTGAGTTAAATGGGTAGTGGCAAGAGAGATCAGGCAGCACCTCATGAAAAAACCCACAGAAGGGACACTGTTCAAAGGGAAGATTCAGGGATCCCTGCTCCAGAGGAATGTGCAGCTTTGTTCAGGGTGATTCAGGTGAACATTCACATTTGATAAAGTTACAAGAAGGCTCTGTGCTGAGGCACACAATCTATATATACAGCATCCTCTAGGCCCATGTGTCCAATATAGTAGCTACCAGCCATATAAAACTATTTAAATGTAAGTTGTACTAATTAAATTTTTTTAACTGTTTGTTTGAATATATAATTTTTTTTTAATTTAAAAAGTAATTCCTCAGTCACACAAGCCATATTTCAAGGGTTGAATAGCCCACATGTGGCCTGTGGCTGCAGTACTGGACAGAAGTCCTATTGAACTGTACTGCTCTGGGCCCTTTTTAGATCGGCCAACAGAAATAGCCTTGCCCTAAAGGATATGAGAGCAAACATGAAAAAAAAAAAAAAAAAAGTAAAAGTAAAAAAGGGTATCACACCCTGGGCGGGTAGCTCAGTTGGTTAGAGCATCTCCCAAAACACAAAGGTTGGGGGGGTTGATTCCCAGTCAGGGCACATACAAAAGTCAACCAATGAATGCATAAACAAGTGGAACAACGAATTGATGTTTCTCTCTCTCTCTCCACCCCCTCCACCCCTGCTTTCCAATCAATCAATAATTTTATTTTTATAAAGGGCTATCACTGGGAGACCCACAGGAATGACAATGTTTATCAGGCCAAACAGCTGAAAAAGAGGCCCCTAGGTAGTTCTGGGGAGCAACCAGAGCGACTTACCTAACTTTCAGCTTCCTTTCTTGGACACTGAAAACATTTCTTGCAAACTTTTTTGTTGTGAACCCTCACCTGAGTTTTAGAAAGAGTGGAAGGTAAGAAGGGGGAGGGGAGGGAGGGAGGGAGAGAGAAAGAGAGAAAGAGAGAACGAGAGAAAGAGAGAGGGAGGGAAGGAGAGAGAGAGAGAGGGAGAACACGAGAGAGAGGCATCGATGTGATAGACCAATTTGTTGCCTCCTGCACAGCCCCCACCAGACTGGGGATCCCGCAACTCTTCAGTGGGAGGGTTGGTGCTCTAACCACTAAGCAACAGCAGCCAGGGCTGAAAACTCTTTAATTATTCATGCTTCCACAACTTTAGTATCATGTTCAACAAAAAATGCAGCACAGTATCAAGACTGAGAACATGAATTCTAGAATCAAACTGCCCACATGAAAACCTTGTACTGAGGCTTAGCAGCTTGGCCAAGTTAGTCACTCTCAAAGATCTGTAAAGTGTGGAAATTAGAACCTACTTCCCAAGGTTTTTATGGAGATCACGTAAAATAATACTAATATGGCATAATTGTGCCACGAAATAGTGAATACTCGATAAATATTAGCCCCAAGCTTAATCTTACTGGTTTTCAAAAAAAAAAGCGGGGAGGGAGTTGGTGAAGATGTGTGGTCACCTTATCCTTCCCTACTCCATACCTGTTTTAGAAATCTCCTTCATGCCCCACTTCCGTTCTATCTCTTCAGGCTCTTCCGTGCCCTCCACAGCACCTTGATACGGTCGCCCTTGGCTCCAAGTATGACTGACTGCTCAGAGCTTGGTACCAGACTCTGAGGACTTACCTTGGGTGTGTTTCCATCATGATGCTGGCTATGTACACAGTTCTTTGTTCTTGTATCTTCTTCCCTCCTCCCTACGAACCGCTTCCATTAAAAGTTGACTAGCTGAAGTCACAGAGGCCCACTTCCTACACTCTCCTTGTGTGTTCTTGAGCCCCACCTTCATTGCTTAGGTTCAGGCCTTCTAAATAGTGAATATGCTGTAGGAGAAAGACAGATCTGAGGAGGCTGGAGTCTCACACTCCCTGCTAAATTTCGAGGTTAGGGGCGCGTGGAGCTAAAAAATATGCAGGTGTTGCCTTAATTGGCTCGTGCTTCGCGGTCTTGCAGATTAACAGGCCCTGGGAGAAGGCTGGGGGCGGGTGTTGCCTGTTCCCTGGCTAATGAAGGAAACGTAAGCCTGCTCCTCAGGATTGCATGAGAAACACAAGATCAACTACAGGTGCAAATTCTCTATAAACTTACTTTCCTAAGGGTTGGTTCAAGTCCCCGGGCGGCTCCTTTAAGAGGCGGGCCCCTCCCCTGGTAACAAAGGAAGTCCCCGCCCCCGGTGGCCAGGGTGCTCTGTGGCGTCGCACCCTCATTGGTGGGCGTCGTGGTGTGCCACCCAGAGGCAGCCATTTCCAACGAGCTGGCGGGGGCAAAAGATGGCGACGCCCGTAGGATGGGCGCAGGGGGGGTCAGGGTCGGTGTGTCTCGCCTTCGACCAACTGCGGGACGTGATTGAGTCTCAGGAGGAATTGATCCATCAGCTGAGGAACGTGGTACGCAGCCGGAAGAGCTGGGGGCGAGGCCGCACCGGAAGTCTAAATGGTGGGGTCGGGGCTGGACCACATCCCCTCACACACACACACACCACCCCCGCCCCCCGAAGCCGGGGCGTGCGCAGTGCACATTGCCAATAGCGTCATCAGAAGGAGGCGGGACCCAAAAGTGTGATGGCTGCCGGGGCTGGAACCAAAGGGGGCAGGGTCTCATGAATATTTTACAAGGGAATTTTAGTCAAAATCAACATTGTTCCCTGCTCTCTTTGCCTGGTTGCATAGGTCCTGGTAGATGGATTCCTCTCTATTCACTGAGCCTCAGTTTCCCCATTCCTAGTTGGAGATGATTTCCCAAGGTGGTTGTATTCAGGCAAAGAAATTGTAATATCCTTTCTATTAGGGACACCCCCTCTGCAGTGCCTAAGTTAGTGCCATTCTGCGTGCACTAACAGGCCCTGGGAGAAGGCTGGGGGCGGGTGTTGCCTGTCCCCTGGCTAATGAAGGAAACGTAAGCCTGCTCCTAAGACTTGGCCCCTTGCACATGACAACTTAAGGGATTCCGACTCCTTTATGTCTCTCTGTTGTTGCTTTCTCAATCAAACCACGGTTTATGGGTGCAAAGGCTTGGATGTTCTGGACAGGCGTGGTAAAATCCTGCCCAGGTGGAGTTTCTGTTTTTATATTCTGCCTTGAGGGGAAGGCTGGGAGATAGGAGATACTCCATCTCAGAAATAAGATGTCTTCTCATCTCCTTCTTATTCTAATGGCTGTATGCAGCCTTAGGCATTGAATTTCCTTCAGTCCCCTGAAGGCTCCATTTCTGGCCTTTTTCATCCCTACATAATGATCAGAGCATAGGTCTGTTCTGATGTTCCCTTTCCCAGGCCAGGTCAGGGACCTCCTCTGGACACCATCACAACACACGCTGTGTTACAAGTGCTGGCCATCTCTTCTATGAGACTGGTTGTTCCTTGAGGGCAGGGCCTAGAGCTGAGCCTCAGCAACTTGTGGAACCGAATTCTCCCTTTCCAGAGCCCCAATCTCATCCTAGATGCCCTGGGCATCATCCCATTATCCACCCTTGCTCTTGGCCCCTAGAGGATGCCCCAGCCCCAGCCCCTCCCTGAGCCAGGCTCTATTGCAGATGGTTCTCCAGGATGAAAATTTTGTCAGTAAAGAAGAGTTCCAGGCAGTGGAGAAGCAGTTGGTGGTAAGTAATGGCCTCTGCAGGTTCCCAGTCTTGCTCTGTTTCCCAGGATCCCTGTGGTTGAGCAATCACTGAGTATTGGCCTCTGAGAGCCTTCAGCCCCAGTACTGAGGACAGAATCTTTCTGTCCTCTGGCTTCTGCGTGGCCCTCTGAGTAAGGGGGCTGGTTAAGGAAGCTTGGGAGACCCAAGGTTGCTTGGGTAATAAGGTCACTGGTGTTGCCCCTGCAGGAAGAGAAAGCTGCTCATGCCAAGACCAAGGTCCTCCTGGCCAAGGAAGAGGAGAAGTTGCAGTTTGCCCTTGGAGAGGTAGAGGTGCTGTCTAAACAGCTGGAGAAAGAGAAGCTGGCCTTTGAAAAGGCGTGAGTGGGCCTTGATGGGGATGTAAGGTTAGGGGTCCCGTTAGCCTGGCAGCCTTCCCACCCTTTCTCATCTCCTTCACCCAGGCTCTCCACTGTCAAGAGCAGAGCCCTGCAGGAGTCCAGCAAGAAGGACCAGCTCATCACCAAGTGCAATGGTAGGCGGGAGGCCCGTGCTTCTTCCCAAGCTAACATTCACGGGATCTACCCTAGCTACCCAGTGCCGGCGTCCAGGGCAGGGTTTCACCCCAACTTCTGTCCCCGACTGAGGATACAGGCAAGCCCAAGCGGGCCTCACCTCCGCAAAGGCCTTCAGGGACCAGGCAGGCCACGGAAATGAGGGAAGCAGTTGGTGTACAATATTCTTCATGGGCCATAAAGGCATGGGCTTGCTCCCATTTTTTTGAAACATACAACTTTCTTAGTCCACCTTTTGTTTTCCACTCTGGATGGAGATTAGAAATAATGTACTTTACTCAAATACATTAATACAAGAGGAACAACAGGGTAAGCACAGTCCTGTTTGAGAGCTGACCCTTAGTCTCAGGTTTGGGATGCATGTAATGTGGAGAGCCATGCTCATTCTCAAGGGCTTAGCTCCTCTGCTGTGGGAGAGGGAGTCCAGTACTGTCAGAGCTTTAAAAAAAAGGAACCAGGTGTGTTTTTTGTTTGTTTGAAATATATTTTATTGATTTTTTACAGAGAGGAAGGGAGAGAGATAGAGAGCTAGAAATGTCGATGAGAGAGAAACAACGACCAGCTGCCTCTTGCACACTCCCTACCGGGGATGTGCCCGCAACCAATGTACATGCCTCTGACCGGAATCGAACCTGGGACCTTTCAGTCCGCAGACCGATGCTCCACCACTGAGCCAAACCGGCTTCGGCAGAAACCAGGTTTTAATGGAAGTTTTCCTGACTTTTTAGTGTTGTCAACTGATTTAGAAGCTTTAAAAATATTGTATGGGCCAAGTAGAGTATGCCTATAGGCCATTAGTTTTCCACTCTGCTCCATGCAGATGCATGTAGCTACTTGGCTCAGTTGGGGCTGTGAGTCAACTACCCAGTGTCCCTAGACCTCAGGAACCACTTCCATTTTCCCAGAATGCTAAGCTCCCCTTACTTAGCTTGAGAAGTGGATGTGAATTCCATACATCTGCTTCATTCACTGCAGTAGATTTTGAGAGCCCAGAGCTCAAGCCTAAAAGAGGTTCAGGGTCTCTCCGGATGGGCCCCACCCTCTGCCCTCCAATCCAGCCTTCTTTCTCCCCTGGTGAGTATTCTCACTGAAAAGTTGCCAGCAGACTACTATATCTTGATCTGGCTGGGTAGGCTGACAGGCCTCATGGTTGTTTGATCAAGAGCTCCCATTAGGGCCTCTTGGGGCCCAGCAGGCAGTCACTGCCTTCATACCCAAGATGCTGGTCCCTAGTCCTCTCCCTCTCTGACCCCTCCCCACCCCCACTCCCCTAAAAGGAACCTAGGGTTCTTTCCTGGTGGTGTTAGGAAAAGACATCCTTCCTTCAGGGCATTTCCTAGAGCCCAGCCAAGGCCACCGGGTCTGCGTCTGGAAGGTGTGTGTGGGTCAGGCTGATGGAGCCTGGCTGCCTCCCTTAGAACGTCCTGAATCCTTGCAGTGGGCACAGCCTCCAGTGGTGACCTGGCCTTCTCCTCGCCTGTCCCTCCCCGCTGCCACCTCCCTTGGTGTGGTTACCATTTGCTTGTACTTCCATAGTTCTGAATCTTTTCAAAGGGCTTTTCTAACCATTCTCTCATTGGGTGCTATTTATTTTACATTTATCTAATTTATTTTATAAGATTCACACAAATTTATGATACTTTTTCTCAAGAGAACTTCTCAAGCAGTGAGTCTGGATTAGCTGGATGACCTGGGGAAGGAGGTGTGATAGTCCTGTTCCTAGGATTCCGTGAGCTCATGTTTTCCTTCTCTTTATTTACCTGTGTCTCCTTTCCTGCCAGACCGTCTCTTCTGAAACCTTAAATGCTTTAGCATGTCTGCGTTTTCAGAGCTTGTGTTCTAGTTAATCTTTGTCCAACCTTTAAAGGCAGTGGGATTTTCTTCCTGTGAGGATCAGAATTTTCCAGGGCTTCCTGAGGGACAGTTATGTATCTGAAGCACCCCCCGAATCCTACAGCCTCATTGGATTCTGACCCAAGTCACAAAAATCATCCTGACATCTAATGAGCACTTAAGTAGCGGGTAAGCTTTCCACCACTAATCTCCCTGGGTCCTTCCCATCCCACACAGTCTGTCTCTGTCCCCATATTATATAGATGAGGACACGGTTCTGAAAAGGAGACATATTCCCCAAAGTGGTAATAATACTGTCTCACCAATATTAACTTCATTGAAACGTCACTTATTCTGTCCTCTGGTCAGTTCCTGAGTCTTAACACTCCTTTCGGGAGCTCCTGCACGGGAGTAGGCATCTGGCTGGCCCTCAGTAGGTCTGGTTGGATTGAGATGACTGAACGAGGTGATGCTTCTATGTCCTAAATCCTCAGGGGACATCCTGGTCATTCATTCCACAAATTTATCGTGCACCTACTATGTGCCAGGCATTGTTTTAGGCCTTGGGGTTAAAACAATGAATGAAACAAAAATCCTTGTCCTCACATCCTAGAAGGGGAGAAAGTAAATGAGTAAAATATATTGTATGTTAGATATAAATGCTAAGGAGAAAAGTAAAGCAGGGAAAAGAGACAGGCAGTATTAGGAAGGGTTGTACTTTTAGACCAGGAGAGGTCTCATGAAAGAGGTGATATCTGCAGAGATCTGCAGGAGTTGAGGCCAGGAGCTGTTCATCCTCCTGCCTGTGTGCAGGGCTGCCACCTCTCTCCAAGGGCCTTTGCCTGCCTTCATGTGAGTCACCTGGACCAGAATAGAGTTCTGAAGTCACTGACACATTCATCAGACATTGTGTCCCCACCACCCATCAAGACTCCATAATAACCTTATTCTTACTAAGGTATTGGCATCTGTTCATGGAGAGCCTGTGGGTGGAGGGAGCCAAGCTCTGAAAAGACCTGTGAGGAAATGAATGCCTTACTCAGGAAGGAGCTCATGGGATGGAACCACCTGCTCCCTGCCTCTCTCCCCCACAGAAATTGAGTCTCACATTATAAAGCAAGAAGATATACTTAATGGCAAAGAGAATGAGATTAAGGAATTGCAGCAAGTTATCAGCCAACAGAAACAGATCTTCAGGTGAGGGGTCATGGACAGGTTGGGGGTTGCTGATGGAAGTGGGGAGCCAGAACTCTGGTCCCTACCTTGGGCTGTCCCCAGCTCCCCGCCCAGCCTAGCCGGCTCCTTGCAGGAATCACATGTCTGACTTCCGGATCCAGAAGCAGCAGGAGAACTACATGGCCCAGGTGCTAGACCAGAAGCATAAGAAAGCCTCGGGGACCTGTCAGGCCCGGAGCCACCAGCGTCCCAGGGAAAAATAAAATAATTATTTCCTTTCTGTTATCTGGTTGTAATCTGACTTCTGATTTCTCTGTTGTGGGCATTCCCATCCTGACCTTTTCTAGTCCTCTTAGGCCTCACCAGTGGCCTGACCCCCAGGGAAGGAGCAGGGTAAGAGGCAGAAAGTACTTTCCTTCCTCCCTGCCTCTCATGGATCTTGGTGACCTAAGTGAGAAGTTACCAGAGACTGCGTGTGGAACAGGCCTTGGACCACCACCTACCAGGGGGTCCATGGAGTTATGGGTTGCAGCCGAGGGGAAGACTACTTTGTTATCTAGTGAACACTGCCCTTTCTTACTCCGTGTTAAACTCCTGCCTATATTAACAGCCATGTGTATATGAGAGAGAGACAAAGAAAAGCCCTGACTGGAGACTTCAAAGACAGTGGGTTCCAGGACCACAATAAATTTGGGAAATCAGTTTCCGTGACAAAACAAAAATGTTTTGCTGTGAATTACATGTGCACCTTCTTATACACTTCCCCCAAACAGAAGCTCATCAGTCTTCACAAATGGAAAGGGAAAGAATAATGCCATTTAAAAAAAAATAAAGCTTGAACCTTTTTATTTTTTTAATCCTCACCTGAGGGTATGTTTTGTTGTTTTTTTGTTTTGTTTTGTTTTTTTTGAGAGAGAGAGAGAGAGAGATATGAAGGGAGGTAGAGTGAGAGAAACATCAATGAAAAACGGATCAGTTGCCTCCCATATTCAGACCAAAGGGATCAAACCCCAACCTAGGTATGTGCCCTGACTGGGAATCAGCCTGACTATAACCTTTCAGTGGATGAACAATGCTCCAACTAACCAAGTCACCCAGCCAGGGCTGCCATGTCTGTTTTTAAGGTTGGGAAACAGTCTGTGAAGGGGCTGACTTGCTGAAGTTGCATATTAGGGCCGGATGTGATGGGCAGGCTTCATTCACTCAGAAGCCATCACCAGTGGCCAGGCGATCAAAGACACACACTCAGATGCATCAAGTCTAGCCTTTCCTGGGTCAGGAGGGGCCAGTGCTCAGTGCTCCAAGGCCAACTGGGGACTGAAATCATAACAGTATCTTGAAGTCAGAATAGAGCAAATGGTACCCATTGTCATTGTCCCAGAACATTTGAATAGGTGGTGGCTGCTTCCCCTCAGGGCAAGTACAGGTGGTGGGAGCTGAAATGAGTACTTGGAGGAGCATAGAGCTATTCCTGCCTCAGAGCGACTTTAGCGAGGAGACCACAGCTTCCCAAAAGAGCCCGCATCAGCATCCACAGCTTGGTTGTCAAGGCAGCCTGTGGACGAGCTGTTCACTCCAGTTTCTTCCAGTAATTTACCACTAAAGGCAATGGATCTAGCCCGGACAGCACCTTCCCGAGGCCCCAGCATAACTTCTGGAGTGGGGGAGCCCTTGAAGCAATGCTCCTCTATTAAAGGCTGTGGAGTGCCAGGTCAGGGAAAGTGTACCCTTAGGAGCTCCAACTGGGATGGGATGACAAGACCAGGGAGGAGGGGTGTCACACCGCGATGGGAAGGCTCTGAGGGGAAAATGAAATTGCTGGTAACACCTGAATTGCCTGACCTGAAGGTCTGGTCCCCTGGGGCTCACACCGATCCGCATGCCCTAGGTAGTGCTTTACCTAAGGTCCCCACGCAGCCTCAGTTTCCTCACCTGTGAAGAGCGGAGTTGGGCCTAGCTTCTGGCTCCACTTTGCACACCTGTCAGCCAAAACCTGGAGCGCCACCCAAGGCGCTCTGGCCCGCGGGCCGGCGGAGAAGGAACGGGCCTGGGAGAATAAGGCCCAGCGCCCAGGTCCCCCCTGCCGGCCACACCGCCGGCTCGGGAGCGGCCGCGGCCGCTTTAAGGCGCGGTGACCCCACGGCCCCCGCGGGCGGGGCGGGGACAGTGTGGGCGTCCCGGCACCAGCGGAGGCGAAGGCGAGGGAGGGAGAGCTCGGTGTCCGGCCCCACCATGCTGATCGCGCCCGCCCCGCCGGCCCTGCCCGGGCTCGCAGGTCAGCTGCCCTCGGCCCCCGCGCGGCGCCAGGACTCCTCCGGTTCGTCAGGCTCCTACCACACGGCCCCGGGCTCCCCGGAGCCCCCGGACGCCGGGCCGGACGCGGAGGGCCGGGCACATTGGCCCCGGGTGGCCCCTGAGCTGGGGGTGGGGGAGCAGCTTCGCCTGTCCATCAGCGCCCAGAATAGCCGCCAGCAGCTCCGGCCCGGCTCGGGTTTCCCGCGAGGCCCGGGCGCCGGCCCGCGGCCGCCCCAGCCCCAGCCCCGGCCCCAGCCCCGGCCCCGGCCCCAGCTGCGCATGCTGCCGTCGGGGGAGATGGAAGTCATCTTCGGCGCCGGGGCCCTGTTCGGCCCCTCGGACTCGGCGGACACGGAGGTGCAGCAGCTCACGGCGCGGGCTCTCCACGGCCTCTCCCCGCCGGCCTCCCCCGCCCCCGCCGCCCCGCAGCCCCCGCCCCCCGACGGCGGCTCCCGCTGGGCCACCTACCTGGAGCTGTGGCCCCGCGGGCCGAGTCCGGCCTCCCCGGCGCAGTTCGAGTGCGTGGAGGTGGCGCTGGAGGAGCGGGCCCTGCCCGCCAGGTCGCGGACGGTGCCCAAGCGGCAGATCGAGCTGCGCCCCCGGCCCCCCCGGAGCCCTCCGCGGGAGGAGGAGGCCCCGCGCCCGCGCCCGCTGCTGCGCACGGGCTCCCTGGACGAGTCGCTGGGCCGCCTGCAGGCCGCCGCGGGGCTCGTGCAGACGGCGCTGGCCAGGAAGCTGGGCGGCGCGGCCGCCGCCCCCAGCGGCGCCACCTGCAGGCCCGCGGAGCGGCCAGAGCCCGAGCCCCGGCAGCCGGCCCGCGGCCCCCGAGCGGCCCCGGAGGACGGCCGGTCGCGCCCACCCCGCCTGCACTGCGGCTCGGCCCCCGCCCGGGCCTCGCGGCCCTGGCCCAGCCTCCGCGAACGCGCGATCCGTCGCGACAAGCCCGCCCCGGGGACGGAGCCCCTGGGCCCGGTGAGTTCCAGCATCTTCTTGCAATCGGGGGAGAAGACCCAGGAGGCGCACCACCAGGACCCCAAAACCCGGTTCCCAGGGGAGACCCCGGATCGGACCGTCCCGAGGCCTCTCGAGGCTAGGGACCCTTGGGGAGTTCCGAGTCAGGCTGTGCGGCCGAGGAGCCCCTCCCCGCGGAGGCAGGCCCCGAATGGAACCCCGCAGGGCGCTCACTGCCCAGCCCCCCGCAACCTGTCCCCACGGAACCGGGCTGAACCCTCCGCGTGGGAGAAGCAGGATCCCGCCGTCGAGGAAGCCATCAGCAGAAGGAGCCCTTCCCCTCCAACCCCTTCCCGGTGGAATCCGGGTGCCGCCGCCGAGGCAAGAAGCCCGCCCGCTGGAGCGCCTTCGCGGTGGGAGGCTCAGCATCCCACAATCGGAGCTGCCGGAGAGGGAAGCAGGAGCCCGACCCCGCCGGCCTGGTCCTCCTGGGAGGCTCCAGACGGTCCCACGGGGCCGTGGAGTCCATCGCCCCAAGAGAGGTGGGGCCCCCCAATGCAGGGTTCCCCGATAGTCTCTCCGCAGGACGCTCTGAATGGCGTCGTCCAGGGGGAGCCGGCGCCGCCGACACCGCCCGCACCCAGGACCCCGGAGCTCGCAGAGGCTCCGGGTCCCTCCGCACGGGGCGCGCCAGGTCTCGCCTTCCCAGAAGGTCAGCCGCTGCCCCTCGGCCGCCTCCCGGGCGCCCTGGACTCGGATGTGCCCCCAGAAGCCCTGGGCCCCGGACCAGCGGCCCCCGGGCGCCCGCGCGTGGCCATCCCGCGGCCCCGCGACCTGCGCAAGATGGTGAAGACCACGTACGCGCCCAGCTTCCCGGCAGGAGCCCCCGGCTCCGGGCCGCCCGCGCCCGCCGCGGACCCCGCGGAGGAGCCCCGCCCGGAGCCGGAGCTCCCGGTGCCGGGGACCCCCGCCCCGGCTCACTACACCTCCGTGTACCTCAAGGACTTCCTGCCGGTCGTGCCGCACCCCTACGAGCCCCCGGAGCCGCCCCCCAGCGCAAACCCTCGGGATGCTCCGCAGCCCAACGGGGCCCCGCGGCGGAGGGCGGAGAACAGCACGGCCAAGCCCTTCGCGCGCACGGAGATCCGCCTGCCGGGGGCCTTGGCCGCGGGCCACGGGCCGAAGGAACCCCGGGGCGGCCTGGTTCGCGGTCCGGGGGACGAGAACCGAGTGGTGGAGGCCCAGCGCCTGGCCTCCGACGGCGAGGGTCCGACCAGCCCTGTAGGGGGCGCGCTCTCCTTACCCCAGCGGCCGACCCTAGGGCCAGCGGGGGCCCACCCATCCGGACCCTCCCGCCCCAGCTCCCCTCAGGCGCACCCTGGCTCGAGCCCGGGGAGAGCACCCAAACTGGAGACTCCTCCTCCTCCCGTCCCCCAGCCGGCCACGGCGGCCCCGGCGCCCCGCCCGCGGGAGCCCCCGGCCTGGGCGGGCAGGACGGCCCCGCCCCAGCCCCGCGCGGCCTCGGCGCCCCCTCTGGACCGGCCCCCGGAAGGGCCCTCCCCAGGGGCGCGCAGGCCGGCCGGGGCCGCGAACACCGGGAAGGTGCTGGTGGACCCCGAGAGCGGCCGCTACTACTTCGTGGAGGCGCCGCGGCAGCCTCGGCTGCGGCTGCTCTTTGACCCCGAGAGCGGGCAGTACGTGGAGGTGTTCTTGCCGCCCTCGCCCCCGGGGCCACCCCGACGCCTCTACACCCCGCTGGCCCTGAGCCCCGGCCTCTACCCGCCCGCTTATGGGGCTCTCCCTGGCCTCTCTCTGCCACCCTCTCCGGGCCCGCCGGCCTACGGCGGCACCCAGCTCCCCTGGGCGTCCGAGGCGGGGCCCCCGGAGAGGATGTACTACCTGCCGGTGAGCGGGACCCCCAGCCCCGCGCCGCCTCTGCTCCTCTGCGCTCCCCCCTCCGGCCTGGGCCCCGCCCAGCCTGGCAAGAGCTCCCTGTTCCCTGTGTGAGGCCCCCCGGGGCCTGATCCCCATGGTGTTGAGGCCTGTGGATGGCTTTTAAGGTTCAGGCATCCAGTCAGTCCCCTGCCCTTTTCTCTCACCTTTTTTTTTAACCCATCTCATCTAGTCCCGAGACCGGAAATTATCTTCAGAGAAGGTATCTGAGACCCCGGGCGGGGGCCGATGGAACTGGATCTCGGGAAGTGACTGCCTTCCTTCTACAACATTTTACACCCCTTTCCCAAGCATTCCCACGAGTGTGGTGTGTTTGAGTGTGTCTGTGTGTGTAAAAGTGAGGCGTCTCAGGATTTGTCCCCAGGAACTGACCTGAAGAGTGGTTGGGGTTCCCTAGGAGCAGCAGGGGACCGGGCTGCCCCCCAGAGGTAGTAGCTGTCTGCACCTCCCTGAAAGGTGGGCCCAGGTGAGGTGAAGCAGGCTAGTGAGCACCAGGGGGATGGAGGGAGGACTCTGGCCGTCAAATCTGTTATTCTTCGGAGGAGGATCTAAGCCTTGGCCTGGGAGGCTGAGGTGGCAAGTAGCTAGTGCAGCCAGGCCAGGCTGCATCTGAGAAAGGGAGCTGTGGGGACCAGCAGGTGAAGGGGAAGCAGGGAAGTAATAAAGGAGGGGCTGTGGAGGGTCAGCCTGGGATATGGGGGTATTTGGAGGGAGGTGGGGAAGTGACTGTAGTCCCTACCTGGGAGCTCTGTCCTTTATTCTTCTCTCAACCCCAACCTCTGACTTGGCTTCTCTAAGCCCTCAGAGCTGGCCTGGCTCTTCCTGGGGCCAGGAAAGGGGGCTCAGTCATTCCCATCCTGGGTGGGGAGCAGAGTCATCAGGAAGGACTTACAAGCAGGGAGAATGGCTACGCTGTTGTCCCAGAGGAGCCTCTGGGTGAGGTAGAGGGTTGGTTAAGGCTGGCAGTAGAAAGGATGCCTCTGTGTGGGGCAGCCAGAGAAACTTGGACCCCTCCGCTGGTGTTACTGCCCCCGTAACAGGTGTGGCAGCCGTGCCCAGCGAGCTGCTGGCCATGCAGGCTGGTCACAGCACAGTCAAGGACAGGGCCAGAGCATGTGTTCCAAGTGCCCTAAGAGTCCCAGAGCCTCTGAGAGGGCGGAGGGAGATACATGGAGGGAGCGGGAGGTGCTTTGCGTGGGTTCTGTGTGAAGTTGTAAGCTTGACGTGCCTGGGCCTTGCCGGACAAGTGTGTGATGTGATGAGTTTGGCCGTCAGAAGCAGTGGCCGTCAGAAGAGTGGCCGTCAGAAGCAGTGTTAGGGATGGAGATGGATGCCGTCCTTCAGTTCCATGCCCCTGGGGGCCCGAGTCCTTTGGAGTCCCTACCCCCCTGCCTTGAACTGGAAGCTGACTGGGAGAACTATGAGCCAGATAAACCTGGACATCTTTTTATAGTTGGAGATGCTGTTTCCAATAGCATGAAGGGCCCTGGGCTCGTCACCTCATCCTGGTGAGCAATAAATCACGGACCCAATGAGCTACCATGGCTGGAACAACTGGTGTAAGGTGTCTGATTTCCTGCTGTGGCCCTTTCACAGCCCCACCATGCCCTCTCATGCCCAGGTACAGCTGGGGTGTAGGGCTCAGGGAAGAACCAGGAGTGTCTTTCATGCACAGTGGTGTTCCTACCTCAGTGAATTTGCCTCCCAGGAAGGGGACTCACACTGGCATCATTCCTCCTGCTGGTTGAATGGCCAGCGGGCTTTGGGGTCAGTCAGGCCTGGGTTCCAATTTCCACATTCCAATTCCCCTCTAGGTATGTGGCCTTGGAATTCCCTCAGAGTCTTTGTGACCTTGGGGGTAGACTAAAGATGACAGTAACCAACCACTTCCTCCCCCAAGGTATTCTGCACAGTACCTGCCTCGTGGCCAGACCCCTGGCTCGGGAGATAGCAGCCCCCGTGTGTCCTTGCCCGGGCCCAGCCACGCTCCTTGCCTCGTTGTTCTCTGCCTGTGAAATGGAGCTTCGTTGGCTGGAGCTGGGGTCCCCCCAGAGGAGGTGCACACGTAGTGTCTCCTGGGGGAAGGGAGAAAACGGGAGGGGTGAGGTGTCAGTTCCCCATTGGTCTGGGCCAGGCGTTCTGGGGAGGTCCCCGCCGCACACACCAGTACATTTACATCCAACCACAGCCCATGCTCGCTGAGCCGGCTCCACAAACCATGAGGCTGCCACTGCCGCTGCTGCTGCTACTGCTGGGGGCTTGGGCTATCCCAAGGGGCCTTGGGAACAGGGATTCGCTCACAGCCACTGCGCCACAGCTGGACGATGAGGAGAAGTATTCAGCGCATATGCCCACTCACCTTCGCTGTGATGCCTGCAAGGCGGTGGCCTACCAGGTGAGTCCCTTCCCCCAGCAGTTCCCCTGTCCGGTCCTCCTCAAGCCAGAACCCTCCAGCTACCTCAGATTCCAGCACTGGCCTTTGATCCATCTCCAGATCCCCACCCCCAGGCCTCCAGCTAGACGCAGCCTTCCATGATATTGTCATCTTCCCCTCCTTGCCTCAGTTTACTCATCTGTCTGCCCAGCAGAGACTGGACACTCCGGGACACCCCACAGTGAATTGAGACTCCAGGGAGTCATTAGTTTGTCGTCTCAGACTCCTCCCTTTCCAGGCCCGTCTCAGGCCTGGACTTTTTTTTTTCTAAAATATGACTGAGGAGCATTGGTATATGGGTGCACGTGCTGAGTGCGTGACTATATGAGTATGTGTGTGTCTGAGCTCACACACACACAAACTTGTCAAGTGTTCGAGTACCTATGAGTACTCACGTCCTTAAAGAGTGGGCTGTGGGGTGTTTTCTTCTTCCCTTGTGTTTGTGTTTGTGGTTTAAAATAGCACCTGCTGATGGGCAGGTGTGCCCTGGGGGAGAGACCCCTGTGCCTAAGCCTAACTTTCCACCTCAGCATTTCCCACCCACCCACTCCGTCCCAGGAAAGTGGATCTTGCCTCAGCTGGCCAGGTCCCCAGCTTTGGGGCGATGGGGGGAAGAGCCTGAGGCCTGCCTCACAGGTGCTTCCTGCTCAAAAAGCTCCCTTGGCCACCTCATTCTTCCCCCGAAGGCCCAGGTTCCTGTCCTCCCCTCCCCCACACCGAGCAGTCCCTAAACCCTGACTCTCAACCCCTCCTGTTCCAGATGTGGCAACATCTGGCAAAGGCCGAGGCCAAGCTTCACACCCCCGGGGGGCGTCAGCAGCTGAGCGAGTCGGTGTATACAGACGTCCTGGAACAGAGCTGCTCCCAGGCCTGGCAGGAGTGAGTTGAAAATCCGGTCCCTCCCTTCCTCCTCCAAGGGCAGGGCTTGGTGAATGGCGGTCCCCACTCTCCCACGTTCTCCACTGGGGCTCTGGTTCAAGCAAGGGGGGCTGGTGGGGACCAAGGGTGAGCTCTAGAGCTAGGAGCACGCAGAACAGGTGGCCAAGGGACAAGTTCATGGTCCAGGAGCTTCCCCTCCCTGGTCCTCTGTTTTCCATCAGGGAGGACCAGAATCTGGGCCCCGAACTCAACAAAGGCCCAGTGTGCCCAGTGTCACGTGGAGACAGGTCTCCCCTGGCCAGGCTCTCGCTAATGCTGTGTCCTCACTGCCTCCAGCTATGGGGTCCGAGAAGTGAACCAGGTGAAGCATCTCATGGGCCCGGGACTTGACAATGGGCCACAGCCAAGCGTCAGTGTGATGGTCACAGGGGGCCCCTGGCCTACCAGGTAGGATGGGAGGGTGGAGGTGAGATGGAATCCTTGGCGCCTTAGCCTGCCCGCTGTGGGCCGGCAGACTTTGAAGCCTCAGTTGGACTCTCCTAGGCTCTCCACGACGTGCTTGCACTACCTGGGGGAGTTCGGAGAAGACCAGATCTATGAAGCCCACCGACAAGGCCAGGAGGCTCTGCAGGCATTGCTGTGTGGAGGCCCCCGGGGGGTCTGCCCAGAGGAGGCACCAGTCACAAGGGCAGAGCTCTAGTCCAACACCTGCTTCCCCGTGGTGGGCAGCTCCTGGGGACAGACAGGAGCTTCTTCTGGATCTGCCCCCCTCCTCTCTGAGGCTGCGGAGGACGAGAACTGGCTCGCCTAGGCTGCCGCTCTCTCTGCTCCTTCAGCTTGAGGGCGCTGGGGCCTGGGCGGAGGACCAAGGCCTTCCCCTCTGGACTCAAATAAAACTCAGTGACCTCAATTCCTTTTCTCTGCAAAATGTGCTTGGGGCGGGGGGAGGCTGGGAGGACAGATATTGGGGTTCCTGCTGATGTTGCTCCCAGAGAGGGCCAACTACACATCCCTACAAATTTCTCAGAAGTGAGTGAGGTCTGTCATGGTTAGGAATGTCAGTGAGCGGACGAAGACATGCAGACCCACCCAGTTGTGTGAATGGGAAGCCCCAGACCATCGTGAGAAGGAAGAAAAGCCATGGGAAACCCCATCGGCAGGCCACCTTGTGGACACGCCTACTGCCACCACGGCTTGCTATCAGCTGTCGGTGCCCCTCCCCGAGCAGCAGTCTCACCGAGTCTACACCCGGCAGCTGCTCACTTTCTGGACTCGGTCTCTGACCCCAGCTGGCATGGTTGGGCTGGTGCCTGCCTGGGACAGGGTGGGACCCGGTTCCTGGAACAGGCTGGCTTCAGCATCTTGGCTCTAAGTCCTGCTCTCCCCGGAAGGTCTTCTTCCTGGGGCTCTTCCCTTGGCAAATGGAGGAAAGGGCTCCACTGGGGTCTACCTGGGTCAGTGGACGTGACAACTTGCCGTTTCCTTTGTGAGTGTCTCTCTGAGCCTTCAAAGCCCTGGGAGGTGGACAGACTCTAATCCCCCCGATGACAGATGTAGACACCAAGACATAGACAACAAAGGAGGCTCAGGACAAGTCCCAGGCTGAAAAGTGGTAGGACTTAGAGGCAATTCGGATCTGGGGGGTGGAAGGGAAGGTCATTGCTGGAAGAATAGGGGTACCCAAGCATGCCCTGACCTCTCCAGCTTTCCTGAGCTACACTGCAGCCCAGCCCCATCTATCCTATCTCCTGTCCCTGATCTGCCTGAGGCACCCCCTGTGTGGTGCTCCCGCCAAAAGAAACACAGAGGCGCCAGGGAAGGACCCAGGGCACAAGGAACTGCTGAGCTGTGTCGGGTGTGGAGTTGGGAGCCCGTGATGTCACCCTGGGTTTCTGTGGCGTCTGCACCTGAGCCCGGGTGTTGGGAGCCCTTTGTGTGATTGTATCTGAGATCCTGTGCAACCCAAGGCTTTGTCTCTGTGTGGTTGAACTGAGTGCCTAGGGGACTGGATGAGGTAGGGCCCCCTGGGGAGCACTGGGGAGGAGAGGGTGGGAAGGAAAGTGCTGAGGAGCAGCTCTGAAGCTTCAAACTGGTCAGACAACTTCGGGAACCTCAGAGCAGAAAGCCAAGGAGGAAGAGGAGAGAACAGGCAGACAGAGAAACAGCTCGAGGCTGGGCAGGCCGGAGCTACTTCCCAGCTGTGGCATGAAGCTGCTTCCTGGCTGGAGAGCGGTGCTGCCCATGGGCCATCGGGGCCGGGTCTGGCCATGGGCTCAACAACCCGGAAGTAGGTGGGCCCTGGGGGGTGGGAGTGGGGGCTGGGCCTGGGGCAGCATTGCAGGGAGCAGAACCTCAGCTCCTTGGACCCTCCAAGCCCCTCTCAACCAGCTCCCGGCCCCATGGCCAGCCTGGGCTGGACCTTCCAGGAGGCAAAGCCAGGCTGGGTCAGGGCTGGCTTCGGGGGCTGATGGCATGCAGTCACACAGGGCCCGGCACCTGGGAAGGCTCCAGACAGTGTTTACTGTTCTGCTACTATTGCCTTGAAAATTCATAATGCTTTTGGAACAGGGGCCCTGCATGTTTGTTTTGGATGGGGTCCTGGCTGGGAGGGGTCCCCGGGGACAGCAAGGCCAGGCCAGCCTCTGTAGCTCCTCCAGAGGTTCACATGCTGTGTGCCTCCCGGACCCCGAGAGGTGAGTGGCGGAGGTAGGGAGGGTGATGCCTTATGTGTGATCTACAGCATGAATGTGGGGGTTCAGGCCAGCCTGGATGTTAGGCATAGTTTTCTTGTCAATCAATCTACCAAGCAGGTGTAAAGGAGGTTAGCACTGCCCAGCACCTGGGGTTAAACACAGCGAAGTTCCCTGGCACACAGTCATTCCTCAGTGAGAGCGGCTGTGATGATGACAGTGATTAACTTGCTATTAATATTCAGATGGTGACACAGGAAGCGCCCATTTCTTGCCTTTTCTCCTGTCACTCACACAGAGGTCGCTAAACGTCCAAGACCGTCGTATGCCTCACTGCCCGCTCTGGCCCTGTCTTGGAAACCAAGATGAGGTCCCGCGCTCGGGCGCGGGCGCGGGCGCGGGCGCGGGCGAATGTGGCGGAGCTCGGCGGCCTTTACCGCTCCGCTATGGCCGGAGTTAATGCATTACCTCCGCCCAGGGCCCGTTTCGCAATCTCGATAGGAGTGGGGATCTGGTTACAGATTTACCTCGCACCATGTCTGATATGTGGAGTAAAGTCCTCCTTGCCGTTCTATAGCCATCTCCTCTTCTCTTCAGGACCTGCTCCCACCTGTGTCCCAGAGATGAGGGCCCAGGAGGAACCCGAGGGCCAGCCGCAGGTGCTGGGGCAGGGGTGGGAGCCGGGCAGGGCGGGGCGGGGTGGGGTGGGGGCTGGAGGAGCTGCACACAGGCTTTCTCCCTGGGAGGGCAGAGACAAAGGTTCTTATAAACTCGATCAAGAGTGACTGTCCTAGGCTGAGCCTGGCTGTTGGGGGGTGGGGGGGAGGTGGCAGCGGGAGTGAAGGAGACACAGCCTATCCCCCCACAGTGCCACCCCAAGGACCTCTTCCAAATGGGCCTGTCCACAGTCTCCAGCCCTCCTGGCCCCTTTCCTGTGTCCCCCCAGGCCTTCTGACGTAGGGATGGAATGCCTGAGTCCCGAGGGCTCCAGGGGCCAGCACAATGGACTGTGAGGTGGGAGCCGGGTAGAGCCAGGCGGAGGGACAGCTGGGTGTATGCACCGTGAGGGGGGTGAGGAACCCAGGCTCAGAGCCCAATCTGAGGAGCTGACAGGCCACTCAGGTACCTGATTGATTCTGGGGCAGAATCAGCTCTCCAGTGTCCACCTCTCCACCCTGAGTGACTGTCCTCTGCTGCCCCCAGCGTGAGGACCTGGGCTCAGCAGGGACCTCCACGAAGGACCCGCCAGTGTCCCCGCCCACGGAGCCCAGGTTCGACATGCTGTACAAGATCGAAGACGTGCCGCCCTGGTATCTGTGCATCCTGCTGGGCTTCCAGGTGGGTTCCCCTGCCAGCGCCCCCACCGCTCACTCCCCAGCCCCTCCCTGGCCACCGAGGTCATCTTGGGTCACAGGAAGAGAAGCCTAAGGTCAGCAGCAGTGACTGTACCAAGCAGGGGTGGGGAAGAGGATTATGGGGTCCGAGAGAGGATTAATCCTCTGGGAGCAAGAATCAGTGACAGGGGAGAGGCCCACGCCGTTGGGAACAGATAAGCAATCCCCGGCCAGGGGAGCCGAGTCCCCGGGAACGTCCTGGCGAATGTCAGTCCCGGTGGATCTGCCGCCTCCGAGGGCAGCATAGCTTTGGGCCCCCGGAGGCGGCATGAGGCTACCAGGGGGCCCTGTCTCCATGTGAGTTCTGTGGCTCTCACCCCCCCCCCTCTAGCATTACCTGACGTGCTTCAGCGGCACCATCGCTGTGCCCTTCCTCCTGGCCGAGGCGCTGTGTGTGGGTCGTGACCAGCACATGGTGAGCCAGCTCATTGGCACCATCTTCACCTGCGTGGGCATCACTACCCTCATCCAGACCACCCTGGGCGTCCGGTGAGCTGCCCCACTCTCTCCCCCCACCCCGCCACGCACACACACACACACACGCACACACACACACACAGACACACACACACACGCACACGCACACACACGCACACACACACACGCACACACACACACACGCACACACGCACACACACATACAGACACACAGACACACACACACCGACACACACACATGCACACACACACATGCACACACACACGCACACATACAGACACACACACAGACATACACACACACACGCACACACACAGACACACACACACAGACAGACAGACACACACACAGACACACACACACACAGACACACACAGACACACACACAGACATACACACACACACTCACACTCACACAGACACACACACAGACATACACACAGACACACACACAGACACACACACAGACACACACACACAGACACACACACACACACTCAGACACACACACAGACACACACACACAGACACACACACAGACACACACACAGACACACACACACACACAGACACACACACACACGCACACACACACACACGCACACACACGCACACACACGCACACACACACTCACACAGACACACACAGACACACACACAGACATACACACACACACACTCACACAGACACACACAGACACACACAGACACACACACAGACATACACACACACACTCACACTCACACAGACACACACACAGACATACACACAGACACACACACAGACACACACACAGACACACACACACAGACACACACACACACACTCAGACACACACACAGACACACACACACAGACACACACACAGACACACACACACAGACACACACACACACAGACACACACACACACGCACACACACACACACACGCACACACACGCACACACACGCACACACACACTCACACAGACACACACAGACACACACACAGACATACACACACACACACTCACACAGACACACACACAGACATACACACAGACACACACACAGACACACACACAGACACACACACACAGACACACACACACACACACTCAGACACACACACAGACACACACACACAGACACACACACAGACACACACACAGACACACACACACAGACACACACAC